AAAAAATCAGTTCTTGTGCGAACACCACCGGTTCAGAGAGGAAGCAGAAAAGGATACTCTAAAACATTCATACCGACGCCTCGTGAAGCTACACGTGTAAACAATTCTCTAAATTTTCCGTCTTTACCTACCTTGAACTCGTACATACAGAGCCACGGCATCCGTGCCATTCGCATTGGTAGCTGTACATGTGTAGTTGTCCTCATCAGTCCTTTCAACGCGGACAAACGTCAATGTGCCGGTGTGCGTCAAGTTTGACGAGCTGGCGATTTGCTTAGTCATTACGCCTCCCATTGATGCACTGGTGTCCTCCCGTGCCCACGTAATCACTGGCCTCAAACCGGCACGGAAGCTGCAGCTTAGAATGACCTCTTGGTGTGCATTGCAGGTTACAACAAAACCGGATGAGGTGTTAAGGTACTGTGGTTCAACTGGACACAATGGAGAGAGCGCACAGTGCAGAGAACATGAGGAGTCATTCACACATGAAAGCCTTGTTCGCCTTATGGAATAACATACGCTATTTATGAAATAAACGCAGTAAGTAAAGCAAGTTGCGCATTCAAAACACACACCATTGGCACAGTAGTAGTAGTAGTAGTAGTAGTAGTAGTAGTAGTAGTAGTAGTAGTAGTAGTAGTAGTAGTAGTAGTAGTAGTAGTAGTAGTAGTAGTAGTAGTAGTAGTAGTAGTAGTAGTAGTAGTAGTAGTAGTAGTAGTAGTAGTAGTAGTAGATTTTATTATTTTACTAGGGGAGTCCCAACAGGCGTTGCCTTTTTACTGGGAACCCTAGGTGAATTTTTACCATGTTTACATACAGAGTAAGAGACAGGTTATAATTATATTATATTTTATAAATAATCTACATGGAGATAATAATTTTAATATAGCTATGAATAGGATGAAGGCCGCAGACATCACGCAACTACGTTACTTGTTTGACATGTATTACTGTGTATTTTATAACAAAAATATTATTGAAAACCCAGAATCGATTTTCTCTTTCCTATCATCAGTGGGAAAAAACGGAACTAAGGATACAACCAAAGAAACTGAAGTTAAGTACTGTAAATAGAAAGGTGTAAGAAATAACATCAAGATACAAGTGCAATAAAACCACTAGAGGAAACGCAAAAAAGGTAACAAGATTACATAACCAAAGGCGAGAAGGCACTGAACGAAGTGTCAACCTACGAATACAACTTCAGTGCAACTTTTTTGCGTTTCCTCTAGTGGTTTTATTGCACTTGTATCTTGATGTTATTTCTAACACCTTTCTATTTACAGTATTTAACTTCAGTTTCTTTGGTTGTATCCTTAGTTCCGTTTTTCCCACTGATGATAGGAACGACAAATTCGATTCTGGGTTTTCAATAATATTTTTGTTATAAAATACACAGTAATACATGTCAAACAAGTAACGTAGTTGCGTGATGTCTGCGGCCTTCATCCTATTCATAGCTATATTAAAATTATATTTTATGTTCTTTATTACAATAGCGAGAGTTCCCAGATTGCCTAGAGTGCTCAACACCACAAGGATGGAGCATTACCACAAATTTTTGTTTATATTCCTAATTAGAATCGGTTGATTGAAACGTTGTCTCGAAATCTATATCTCACATGTTATTGACGCGAGATGCCCTAATGGCAAAAATGGATTACCTTGTCTCTTCTGTCCAAGAAACTTTGACCAGGATCAGCATCAGTTATCTTATGGAAATCACGGTTCGCGTCAGACTCGGCTAGAGGCCGGGTTTTCCGCATCCGTATGAACGCCACCACCCTTCAAGGATCAAGAATCTTATGTAGCAAAGCACGAAATGTCACAATTAAAAAAAAGAACAATTCTCTGAAAGATCACCTGAAGTCAGCGTTCTAGCACTGATGGAAGGGCTGTACGGACCATATCCAGCAACAGTTCTGCCTCGAACACGAAAGTTGTAAGTAAAGAAGGCATTCAGACCTGATATGATGGTTGACAGCTCGGAGCCTGATTGGACAGCCTGAATACCATGATAGGTGTCAACATATCTTTTATCATCAATGTCCACCTGAAAGAACAATACAAATTGTATTCAGGTATAGGATATTTGAGCTGCTAGGTCTGAATAGGTTGCTTATGTCGATTCCCACAGTATTATATTGAGAAAAATGCATTTGGAAGTTGAGTATTCCGCATAAAAGTGATGTATACAGTAAAACCTGTAACTAAAGACCACCGTGACTAGCGACCAGCCTGGTACTACAGTAAAACCTGCAACTAAAGACCACCGTGACTAGCGACCAGCCTGGTACTACAGACCACTTCGCCAGGCACGGATGGTCACACATTCATATTATGCGGTGCGGTGCAAACCTCTAACTAAGGACCACCTGCCACTAAAGACCGCTTTATCTCGCCCCTAGAGGTGGTTGTTAGTCACAGGTTTTACTGTAATTCACTTATTGAAACACTCGTAGATCTGTGAAAGATCTTTTCGACCTAGGGTTTCACAGAGCGATCTGCTGGGATAAAGCAATGCTATGATATAGATAACTAAAAAAATGCTCAAAAATGACAAAAGCCCCCTTTTGGATCAAGAGGATCATTATATTTTAGCTATGAAGACATTACGTAGAACTAAAGTGATTTTAGACTAGTTTGACTAGTGACTTGTCACTTGTTATTGACAATTGCATAAGCTAAACCATACAAAGATTATTACACAGTATGATAGCCTGAAGTCTAGAGTAACGTTCCGGGACAGTTGGACTGAGGGTTTCACACGGAGATGAAGGCCTTGTCTTCGCTGATGTCAATGGACGAAAAAAATATCGTTCCGCAAATTTTCCAGGCCCTTTGACTTTCTCCACAGGATAAGAGCTCCTATTCTTGTCGTCTGCAAGCTCTGGATGATTTCTACTTCACCACCAACGCAGTAGGAATACACGATCGTTGCGAGGTCGGTTGATTACCGTCGGCGGAATCACCTCGGTCTTGAAATGAACTTGGGGTGCCCGTTCATTTTAGCTGTGTGGTCACTGCTCAGGCAGGTAAGTGGACTCTCACGTCGAGCGCGCCCTCTTTTTCAGCATTGCTGGTACAGACTCAGTACCTGCAGGGGCATCACTAGCACTACAGTCAGCAGTGTACACGTGGAGTCTACATGGCCCTTGCAGGTACTGAGTGTCTCAGCATTCCTTGCATGAATGCAAAAGCGATAATTTGTATCGCTCTTGCATGCATAAGTTTGCTGACCCCTCGATGTTTCTCCAAGCGCTGCTGTTTGTTCCACGCAGTCATTCTCACCCCAGCTCAGGTAAAACAGCGATGTGTTTGTGAGTGAATGGCTATAGGCGGGAGAAATGTGCAGGCTGCAACGCCTGACTGATCTGAGCGAGTCGAAAGTACCATCTCAGCGACATCAGCGAAGACATTGCGTCTAGTTCATAATTTTCAGCTTCCAACAACAGAAAAATTTATATATATATATGATAGAGCTTTGCCGTCACCCTATACTGATGACTAGAGCTTTGCCGTCACCCTATACTGATGACTATTGTCTATGTCCGATTCCTTACCTGTGGTACGACTGCTCGTGGGTATACACCCCGTTTTATATCAAAAGTCAAACTGCGACAATTTCGATGACGCAGAGGAATTCTAATTCTACACACACATGCGCGGGAATGCTGCTGTCTGATGATCGCTGAAATGAGGGAAACTTGAATTTACAACTAGCACAGTCTTTCGCCTCTGTTGTGTATATACTGCTCGGTACATTCGTACATTGAGCACTCTACCTTGAGCTTCCTAGACCGGCCTTGTTCCTACATGAGTATGCACCGGAGGGTGTGCTGACAGTGCTCAACACCATGGCGGAGGCAGAGCGTAATACAGACCAGAACAACCAGGACAATCAAGGCTTGTTGCCTGATGATTGCGAGAGCAAGAAACTTCAAGTCGCAGCAAACAAGCCTTGATTGTCCTGGTTGTTCTGTTCTGTACATGATTATACATATACTTCGAAGTATGTTTTACCCAATGCTTTAGACAGCAAGCTGTTTCGGCCATAAAGGCCTCGTGTACGTTTTTATTACTTTTGTCTATTTCACTCAACTCGTGCATTAAAGTCACGTACCGTTATGTTATACTCGACGTCATATCCGCTGATGTTGCCATTCTGCTCCATACATGGAATAGGCATCCATGAGACATTCGCACTGTAAGGGCTGAGTGCCTGGACCGATACATTCTCCGGAGAACCACTGGGAGCTGTGTAAAAAATGGGAATAGGTCCAGATGATTATGATAATGACAGTTTTTCAAAGTAAAATGGATCGCGTAGAAGCCACGAAGAACTTGGCCATTTGAAAATGTAAAACACTCCACCACTCGACACTGCGCTCCTGGCCCACATTCACAACTCCATACTCCATAGCAAGGAATTTCGTTCTTGGGTAGATGTGGCATATCCTCCAGGCAGCTGTTTCGACCGTGTAGAGCTCCTCAACTGCGCACTGTGGAGTGCTGGAGTGTTTAAACAAGGATGGCTAAACATGTTTGTGAAAACGACAGGAGTTAGCCTAGAGACCTGATGTGATTCTGCATGGGCACACATACGGAATTGTGAAGCTGTCAAAGCAGTGTTTACTCCCCATCGTCTTCAATGGAATGACAATGGGGGTACGCTTTGATGTAGCAGTGGTTGAACCCACACACCGTCCGTGCACAGCAGTGGTCGTGAGCGTGGTGCATCTGCGACAAAGCTACCGGTAGTTAAATTATGCAAAGTTTGCCTATACACACAGGTGGCCAACGCTGGTATGCTGTTGCTGGATACAAAATTAAATATGAAATGCTCGCACACTTTGGGCACACCAATCCCTCATGTTCGTACTGACCTACTTTGCGAGGCACGCATTACGCCAGTAGGCTAGCGAAATACTTCAAGTAGGTAGCAAAAACACCATAATCTTCAAGGTGGTCTTCGGAAGTAAATAAATTGTTGCTCAGAAACAGATCAAAACTTACACTTATCATGGGTCAAGATCTGTGTCGGGAGTGTGTAGTTCCCAGCGCCAATCGCATTTGATGCACGCAATTGGACAGTGTAGATTTGACTTGGCTCCACATCGATGAAAATTGTGTTGGTCGATGGAGGAAGATCAGTGGAGTTCTCCATTATCTGACCAAGACAATCTACGTTCCCATACCTTAAAGGAATATGCGTACACACAGCACACATGCAGGTTGTCACTTCTTAGTGTGGCTTATATTAATCCAACGTAGTGCATTAGATCAATATCGCCATACCATCATGATTTCATAGAAATGAGGTGTGGTCGAGCGCAACTGACACGTTCACTGTTCAAGCTGTTAACTAGGCTTTGCGTACTGGGTGTGGCAGTTACGAATCCATCAGCTACGCTTCCTGGAGCATTTCTTTAAGCATGTTTTCGATGAACATCAATGTATATAATGCTCGCGGCCGAGGTTGTGCTGACTAGTTGGCGGCGGCTAGCCGAGCTTGATGACGTGCACGGCCTCAATAACGGAACTGCCACCCCAACACCGGCAACGCAACAGCTGCAGAGTGTTGAAGTTTGCCTTGTTCGTCCTGCCAATGTGTCATGCCAGCAATGCCTTTTCCTGAAAGTTCAAACCTTTTTTGCAAATTGTCACAGGCTGTGCATGTGAAAATGGCTTATCTATGTTGTTTTGTTTTCGACTACGTGGTTCTCGGCTGTAGCTCATGAGTAGAATTGTACTATCTTGTATGCTCGTGTTATGTCGCTTTGCCACTATGTGCCCGGTCAGCTGTTAGGATTGCTGTATTCGTATTCATTTCTTGTTGGCTGAGTTTTACGAAATAAACAAGAAATGTTGTTCTTTTCGAACGGACAGGTCTGGAACCGAGGTCCGACAATTTTGGGCGTACTGGTACGCCGCAGTTCCTCATCTTTTGTTTCTTGCTTTGCAAGCTGGTTGCCTTTTTTCTGGACTCCCTTGATTTCATCATACGTTCAGTCGTACCTGCCTTTCCGGTATGCCTCCAAGGAAATCCAAGGCCCCTCGGCAGCGCAGCTGGTACCTCCAAGGAGAAAATCCAAGGCCCCCTGGGCAGCGAAGCTAAGCGTGGAGCTCAATGCAAAGAGGGAGAAGTTTGAGGCGAAAAAACGAAGAGAGCGCCCTGAGAATCAGGCTCCTCGAGGGACAGCTGGAACGGGGAAACGAGTCGTCCTCGTCCAAGCGTAAACGTCGTAATGTTTCTGTATCGTCGTCGTCTTCGTCAGCATCTTCGTCATCGTCCTCGTCATCAGATTCGTCTGACTCGTCGGACGACTCCCGCCGGAAGAGAAAACCAAAAAATTCCAAAAATATAAGAAGTCACGAAGATCCTCTATCTCCTTGTCAGCGCGAAAGTGGAAGACAAGATCTTATGAAGTGGAGCACGGCCTGAATGAGCAGCTGCAACGTCAACTCAAGAGAACCAGGCCGGACCTGCGGAAGCTGAAGGGTGGCCGGAGTCTCTCTAAGAGGCTCAGAAGAGGTGCGTCGTTGCTGTACGCTAGACAAGAATGGTTGGTGGTGGCGGATGTGCATGGCCACGAGGCGGCCAGCAGGTTTCAAGAGGGTGGGGGGGGGGGGGAGCTGGTCGACATCATGTCGTCCTCCAAAAAGTAACGAAGCACGAAGCAAAGAGCCCCCATTGTTAATGTTAGGCAGCCCTTTCGTGGCAGTGGTCCAGTCACCTCGTTCAGGAGCTGGGGAAATTCCCCAATCCCCTTCATGCCGGGCGTCACAGCAACCCCTGCCCCAGCAGTTCCCCCGGACCTCCCTGGCCTGTGTGCGGCAAAGAGGTCCCGCAACTGGTTATGGCGCTGAGTGAGATACCCCACCCTGGGGCACATGAATGAATGATGAGTCGTCATGTCACGGCCACAGACGTACGATGAAGGCACACTACTCAGAGGCAAACCATTGCGCAGGCACAAAGTCATTTTTGTTGAAAATGCTGCTTGCGGTTAAGACCGTGGGCGGGGTACCTAGCCAGGTTGATACGCCACCATCGCCCGCAACCTAGACCAGAAGTCGCTGCTTGTCCAGCAGAGAGGGCTTGATGCTGGTGAGAATGGATTGCTGCAGAGCACGACGCTCTGTGCGCGCCGCAGAAGCAAGAGTCCTGCAGGATGAAATGACTGCAGCAGGACCACACACGAGATAGCACAGAGCGGACCATCGGCTCAGTTGACACACGGCACAGGTGATGCTCTGCTTCCTCTCGCTGACCGGATATGCCGACTGCCAAACCACCCGACTTCACGGGAAGGGACAACAATTTCCTGAGATCACCCTCAACAGCCAGAGTGTGATCCGTTAAAGCGGGGAGAAGACTCTGGACAATGACTGTCTCCAGGGGCCCAAACAATTGGGGGTCGGCATCAATAACTTTCTGGAGGAAGGTCCACCTTGACTGAAGGGAAGAGATGAACAGGTGATAAGCAGCCTGGGGCTGCATCATGGCAACAGTGGACAAGCGCTGAATGAGGCCAGCTCAATTCACCACACACTCAAAAACAAATTATCACACAATTTTTGAGTGCCGACGGCTCCTCCAAGATATCGAACACCGTCTGTGCGAACCGAAACACCAGTCTCGGCAAAAGCCTCCTCGGCACGAAGAGCTATTAATAGGTTGTTTTCATTTGACCCAACGAGATCACACGACGCTTGCAGATCACAGCACGAACAGTTCACCAGCCACACTCCACGGACGCAAGTATTAGTACTCCTGACAAATCTTGTTTCGTTCCATAGAGATATAACGGGGAACTCATGAGAGGAGAAGCAGTTGTTGAATGAAAGGGTTTAGCTGAACAATGCTATTTTATAGAGAAGATACCGGCGTAAGGTGTAAACACTCAACTAACTCATATGTGACATATCAATACAAAAAGGAATAGTGGAGAAAGAAGGTGTTCTGAACCCTACCAGACGCACAACTATCACAAGTGCTAATCAATCACATAGAAAAAAGGAGAAGTACACAGAAATAGGTTTTGCTAGTTTACACGTCACAAAGAGTACTGAGGTGGTGACAAAGATAGGTGAAAGGTAGACGCCAAGTGAAAGCCAACAAATCATCACGGACGTCTAACGTCACATCTGAAGATTGCTAGCTGCACAAGACAAATACTTCACAAACCTCGATAAATGAAATTCGGCCAACGGTAGGTGAAAGTAAGTAAGGCTGCTGGGTGTGACATAGAACTGTGGGCTGCTGAGGCGACGTATCCATCTAGATCTTGACTGCAGGGTTGGCGTCTAACGCTATATTCCAAGCAGCAGATCAAATCCTTTCTCTGGTCAATGGCAGGTTTCCTGGTCCAGGAGAAGTCATAATTCTTTGTTGCCATCTTCAATAGGTCCTTCAAATAGTAGTAATAGCTTTTTCATTTGACCCGACGAGACTACACGACGCTTGCAGATCACAGCACGAACAGTTCACCAGCCACTCTCCACGAAAGCAAGTAGTCTCACAAGTCTTGTTTCGTTCCATAGAGATATAACGGGGAACTCATCAGAGGAGAAGCAGTTGTTGAATGAAGGGGTTTAGCTGAATAATGCTATTTTATAGGGAAGATACCGGCGCAATGTGTAAACACTCAACTCACTCATAATTATGTTACATATCAACACAAAAGTAATAGTGCATGAAGGTGTTCTGAACCCTAACAGATGCACAATTATCACAAGTGCTAATCAATCACATTGAGAAGGAGAGGCACACAGAAATAGGTTGCGCTAGTTTACACGTCACAAAGAGTACTGAGGTGGTGACAAAGATAGGTGAAAAGTAGACGCACCTACCGTTGGCTGAATTTCACTTATCGAGGTTTGTGAAGTATTTGTCTTGTGCAGTTAGCAATCTTCAGATGTGACGTTAGACGTACGTGATGATTTGTTGGCTTTCACTTGGCGTCTACTTTTCACATATCTTTGTCACCACCTCAGTACTCTTTGTGACGTGTAAACTAGCGCAACCTATTTCTGTGTTACTGCACTTCTCCTTTTTTCTATGTGATTGATTAGCACTTGTGATAGTTGTGCGTCTGGTAGGGTTCAGAACACCTTCTTTCTCCACTATTCCTTTTTGTATTGATATGTCACATATGAGTTAGCTGAGTGTTTACACCTTGCGCCGGTATCTTCTCTATAAAATAGCATTATTCAGCTAACCCCCTTCATTCAACAACTGCTTCTCCTCTGATGAGTTCCCTGTTATATCTCTATGAAACGAAACAAGACTTGTCAGGAGTACTACTACTTGCTTTCGTGGAGTGTGGCTGGTGAACTGTTCATGCTGTGATCTGCAAGCGTCGTATGGTCTCGTCGGGTCAAATGAAAAAAACTATTACTACTATTTGACGGACCCATTGAAGATGGCAACAAAGAATTACGAAGAGCTAGATTGGGCTTTGCCAGGAGAACGGTCTTTTTCGGGTTAGGATAGTACCCATAATTTGGACTGACATCGGATATCACCTGCCAGTACGACTGCAACGCCGGCACCTTGTCTACAGCAGCGTCATCATCGGCGTACCACACTGGTCCCGTAGAGGGGCAGACCTCCTGCAGATGCCGAACGAGGGGAATCAAGGCCTAAGCGTAAAAGGCCATAGCTAATGGGTCGCCTTGACAAGTGCCCTCTCTCGACTGGATCACTTCACCACCGTCCAGGAGAAGTGGGATGTCGCTTTGGTACGTGTTGATGAACACACGTCCGACAGCAGGACATATTATTATTATTATTACTATGTGCCATGCGCTACTTGATGTACCAGCCTGCTATGCCGGATACCGCCAGCCATGCATCGACCAGGCGCCAGGCGCGAACTGATGGTGGTGGTGGTGAGAAGGAGAGCTCTGTGCCAGAACTTTGCAGCCTAGAGAGCGTGTGTGGGCAGGCGTGTGTTTACCGCCATATTGCCAGGTGTGTCTTTACCACCATATTTATGAACCATAAGTACAGCTGCAGTGGTGTCTTCAATTTCATTCTCCCGAGTCAAGCTCCGTATGAAGACATCCAAGAAGAAGATTGCCTGATGAGTCCAGCGGGGACGAAACGTACGTCGCAATCGAGCTATGTCGTTGCTGTGTCATCATCTATGTGCCATGCGCTACTTGATGTACCAGCCTGCTATGCCGGATACCGCCAGCCATGCATCGACCAGGCGCCAGGCGCGAACTGATGGTGGTGGTGGTGAGAAGGAGAGCTCTGTGCCAGAACTTTGCAGCCTAGAGAGCGTGTGTGGGCAGGCGTGTGTTTACCGCCATATTGCCAGGTGTGTCTTTACCACCATATTTATGAACCATTATTATTATTATTATTATTATTAAAAGCATGTCCGCGTAGGTGGCGGAGGTGCTACTTTCGCTTATGCCATTCAGGATTGATGTCTGAAGAGCAATACGATACAATGATACAATGAAATGACAGAAGTGACGTCAACAAAAGCCGTTAGCAACAATACCAATAGGACTAATGGAAAACTTCATCCAAAGTATAAAATAAAATAGAATATGCATACAACATGTCTGGCGGAATCACGTGGATCACGAGAATCAGTCCTGCTAGGTGGGGCGGGCTCCACGCCATGCCTGTCGGTCCGCTGCCATTGTGCGGACTGCGTCAGCATCTAGCGGCTGGTGGAGGGTAAGTCCATGCCATAATGACAGTTCCGTCTGCAAGACCGTTACCAAAGTCGTCCGAGGTCGACCCCTGAAGCGTCCAGTGCACTCGTCGTTGGCCAAGTGAAGATAAATATCCACTGCCAACTGTGGAGGAGCAGTTGGAGCCAAACGAAAGATATGGCCAGCGAGACTGTAGCGCTGCTTTGTGATCATCTTGCTGATGGGGACAGCTCCGCAGCGCTTGTACAGAGTGTCATTGCTAATTCGTTTAGGGTACCGCATGCTGATGATAGTCCTACAGGACATATCGGGGTAATATTGTGCAATGGAACAGCCCTGTTCACGAAAAGGCTTTAGTGGTTTGCATTTTGTTGTTTATGGAGCTAAAGAGTAATATCTATCAAAGGAGTGTAATACAGACGTCGGTTATCTTAAGTTCAACGGCATTCAATTTGAGCCTTGATCGATGAGCACATTGCCGCCAGGCAAACTCAATATGAAAGACTCTCACATTACAAAGGGTTAACAGGCTTACTTAACTGTGTAGGATGTGAGAGGGGCATTGTTGGGAGTTGCCGCAAACAAAGATATGACGATCTTTTCACCGATAAGCAACACCCATAACACACCAGGTGCGTCTGGTACCCCTGTACACAAATGAAGTGCAAAAAGAGGCACATTGCAGGGATACAGCAAAACAAGAAGGTGGTCGAGAGCACAGAATCCCTCAGTTTACACAGATGGCCTATGCATTAGCTCAATAGGAGACAGACAAACGGTTTATGTCCAATCGTTAGTTTTATAGAACAATTGATTTATCTCTCTCCAGCCAACGTGGACACCTTGCCACAGCACATCATCAGCACGCGACACAACAGTTGGTACTCATTTCCTTCATACAGCTTTTTCCAGTATAAAACTCTCTTCAGTGAAGGCAGATCTTGTACATTGGCTAGGATGGTGAAAATCACCCCTTTTCGTGCCGAATGGGGAAGCATAATGCGAGCACCTGTGGCTCGAAGAGATTTCTGGAGCACTTATTTAATTTCCTGTTGTCAGACGGTCTCTTAGAACACTATGCTGACTTACACTGGACAATTACGTCTAGGGAATGATCTAGCTTGCCAGACATTGAGTTAGCAGTGCAGGTGTAAGTTCCGTTGTTCACTATGTTGGATGGGGAGACGATCAATGTGGTTGTGCGGAGGGGTAGTCGATCGCCGAGTTCCCCTGTAAAGCACAGACAAATCCAGATCATGCTTAGCAAACTGGTACCCCCAGCAATGTTGCATGAGTATCTCAGTCGAAATTAATAATAGAAGTTAAGGAAATTGAACCAATCGCCAGCTATGAACACCAGGCCGGAAATATTATTTTATGTGTCCTGATGTTAACCTTTGCGAAGGAAAGAAATAGGTTCGTGATTGCCAACAGCAATAGGATAGCGGTAAACAGCTCGTAGGGTCTCGACAGAATCTCACCAATGAATGATGTACTCATAGCGGTCACTTGGAGATCAGTCAGCCCCGGAGCAGTGATAGTGATGTTTGGCGCTGGATTCCCGCTAAAGCTGCAGGTCACATTGATTGTCATCGGGTACACAACTTTCGATGTTCTTGCAAGTACGATAGCACGTGGGGGAACTGCAGAGAACATAAATTCAAAATTGCAGGTCACATTGATCGTTATCGATACACAACTCTCGATAGTCCTTTAGCTATGAAAGATCGTGGGAGAACTCCAGAGAGAAGAGAAGCATTACAGATTTGTATGCAGTTATGCGACGGTCCAGGTCTGGGATATGACCATTAATTTAACTGGGGACGAATTTCGTTCATTTAACAGCACTCTAGAACGCACATTGACTTCCTCCAGCCACTGTGTTGACCAAAGCGCCTAGCAGGTTCCTGACATCCAATCGTCATTTATTTTATGATTTTAGCAAGCGATACCAAATTGGGTTCGATCTCTGGAAGCCCACATCTTTACCCCTTGGCGGATAATAATAATAATAAACACAGCTCGCATCTTCCCTGAACCTGTTAGACAGGAGCAGAGTCGACGCATCTGTCAACAGAGTCAAGCCAAGTTAGTCTATCTCCTGCAGCTTGGAGAGCGCTCTCCACGGAGAAATCCCCTGCCTTCAGGTCGTGCCGAATCGTATCTATCCACCGCGATGGCGGACGGCCACGGTTTTTTTTATGTCGTTTGTGTTGATTGATAGCTCCAGTGCTTGGAACGAGGCGGATTCCGGACCCTCTCGCACCACATGGCCAAACCACAGCAGCCTGCGTCGCCGGCATGTGGCACTAACTGGAGATTGTTTCGTTTCTGTGTATAAGTTTTTATTGGCGATGCGTTGCGGGTAGACAATCTGCAGCAGTACGCGTAGCTTCCTCCGTTGCCATTTGTCCAGTTTGTCGTTCAGCAATTTGGACAGAGTCCACAATCCGCAATTGTATAAAAGGATCGGCATTATGAGGCAGTTAAACATACACAGTCGGGATTGAAAGGAATGCCGTCTCCAAGAAATCTTATCCTTGGCGGATAATGCTCCACAATTTGCTGAATTATCCTTTCCATTTATATGCCCAAACTATGCCAGTGATTATGCTACATTATACATGATGCTGGAATTATGGCAATGATGGTGCTATACTGTACCCTCGCAATCTTGCTGCACATTGCAACATTGCAACCACTCTGGCACTATGACAGTACGGCTTATAAGAGAGAACATTCACCAGGTGATTTCCTGTAGCATCCATTGATATGCCTGGTGCATTAGTCTTTCGCCACCATGGTAAGGTTATGTCCAACACCTGGTCTCAGAAGTTCTTTTATGGCAGGACATTATATCTAGACAAAATATACCAGAAATTTTGCCAGCACAATCCACCAAGGGCTAAAAATCTTCCCCTTTGAATTTGTTGCGAATTACACAGTGCTGTTATGGTAAGAAATGTGGCCTGGTATGTTCGAATTTTACTCTGTCTCAAACTGCAAAATGTAATGAGACTTTTCTAGCGTTAATGACAAAATTCATCCTATTTGACCAAACAAATCCCGTGCCGTTTAAGCCTCGAGCAGGCCACGTTTTCTGCATCCACAGCAATGCCATGAACCGCAACGATCAAGGTGCAAATGCAGCCATTTAACCGGTGAGTGGTGGATAAATCAGACCAACTGCCAAGTGGTCCGAACCAGAAAGTCAGGCCCATTTGCTTTGAATGAAATTTTGGGTTTCTCACCCTCTTGAAGATGAGCGTTCTGATTACCCACGTCCTCAACATCGCTTACCCAGTACAGAAACTTCAGCGGATGTTGAGGTAGTTGAAATCAGCTTGCTACTGACAATGTACCCCGTGGTGTTGACGTCACTAACGCAAGTGTACGTGCCACGATCAGCAAACGTGACGTTGGAGATTGTCAATACACTGAAGTAAATGCTTGGCCTTGATGCAGTGGAGACATTTGACAAGCCCATGGTCCAGTCAGAGACTGCCAACCCATTATGCATCCAGTATATCATTGGAGTTGGGTGTCCATATGACACGCAGGTGAGGTTTGTGTCATATTCCTCAAGTATCGTTACATTGTTTGGTCCAGCAACAATGCGTGGTGCAACTGGTTTACAAGAACAGAATGCAACGTTAGCCAGATAACAAAATAGGGTAACAGGAAGTTTCAAAGAACAATACTATCAATGACCATACCGTTTGCAGCCTTAGGGACATCATTGACTACCTGAAGAAGGCCAATGGCCGAAACGTTGTATATAATGGAATGGCTCGGAAATTTGCAGAGTATTGTGGAATGGGTGGGTTAGCCCAATTGGACTGACCATTATATCGTTCGCGAATCTGTACTGTAACGAGTTAGCTATGCATTGCTGCACAAGCTACTCAACTACATTTGACGGTGCAAACACATTTCTGTTGCCTAGGGTTGGTAAGATATTGTACTAGGATCTTGGATATGCTATGGTCGTAGGCAGTGGACCTCAATATCAGAGTACGATATCTTCGCCGGTGTGTAACCACATTCGTGTTCAACGCACCCTAAATCCACCATCCAACTTTCTTCGAATCGACGATGTTGTATGCCCTCTTTTCAATCACGCACAATCTTTCATCATCTCAATATTAAATTCGTTTTTCAGAACCGGTGAGACTTGTTTGTGTTTCGGCCCATCTGTCGATTCTGCCAATCCTAAGATGGGCAGTTGCCCATCTTAGGAAGGGTGGGCGGAAGGGGGGGTGCCGATCTTTGGATCAGAGTGGGTTCAATAGAGGGAGATCCCGTGTACGGGCCATTTTTCAAGTGGAAGTGGGTTTTTTTCGTTTTCGCTCATGTAAATTTAACACGTACTTTCATGGAACGTGCGTTTATTGGCTGTTCTCAAGTCGATCGATCCGAAAACGGGCCATGTCCGTGCCCACCCTAGGATGGGCATTAGCTATTTTGCCCATCTTAGGATGGGCAAAATCCTTGGACTGGACGGAACATCAGCACACCAGGCAGAGTTTATAAGGAGTGATCTGAGGATTTACGTTTCTAAACTGTAACACAGATTGGGCTGAAGGTTCCTTTGTGTACAACCTGATTGCCAAAACTAAAATTATAAATTTTAAAATACTTCCTCTGCTCACAATGACCGAGGAACGAGATTCCTTAAAAAGAATATTATATAACTTATTAACATTGCCAGTTCATGAAAAACTCACTAACCGTACACATCCAGAGTGGCTGGCTGGCTGTATGTTCTTCCGCCAAGACTTGGAGTGATACTGTCGCGGTTATCAGCTAGGCAACGAACCTGACCTCGATAACTGTAGGTAAGGTTGCTAAATCTCAACGTTTTGTTTCGCTCTCCGGAAAGAGGTACCTCGATGGGGTACTGTGTTGGCAACGAGTATAGGGCACATAACGGAGCAATACAATATCAACTGATACAATTCTCTGAGAATAGCACATATGAGGAACAATTTTAATCTTCTTTGCGTTATTCTAGTTCCTCAAACAGTTATAAACACGTCCATTTGAGAGACAACACTAATATTGATGTAATGTAGTATTGTACAGCTGAGAGTCGGGCTGATGATATATAAACGGGTGACTGCTAGTCGCAGAAAATCACCATTTCCGTGCCACTATCTCAAAAATAATACTAATCAAAACTTCGTCGAGCAATTGTCAGTATTGATGCCCTTGTTTCTACCGACACGCATGCGTTTACATCAATGGCGTGTCGCCTCATTCTATCGTCCATATGCTCCTGTAGTAGCTCACACGTTACCCCTTCGTAACCACATCCCTCCGCAATGTGTTGTCTTGCTTAGTTTCTAGACTGATTTCTTATGATTGTGGGATGATTGAAATCGTAAGTATCTTGCTTATTGGCCATGGGGCATCTTGGATATAAAGATTAATAATAATACCGGATAAAGAGAGGTTATATAAAAAATAATAATAATACCGGATAAAGAGAGATCATGAGAGGTAGAAAAAGAGAGTGTTCATCGGCTTTCAAGTTATGGATGGTGAGGAAGACGTTGTAGACTTATAACAAGATTATATGAACCGAATCGTAGTTGACAACATTATTTTACATAAGACTTAGTAGTTTCTTACCCGTTTGTAATCCCTGTAGAGCCATGTGATATTCGGTGTTGGGACGCCGTACACGTTGCAACAAAATTCAGCTGTGCCGCCTTCCGAAGAACTGACATTCTGCGGGTGTGATCGATGAACAGGAGGGACTGCAGCAGAAAGCAGCATATTATAAGAACGAGGAAATTGGGCTGGTTCTGTATACCTTGGGACCATGCAAGTCGAGACAGAAATGAAAAGCTGCTGGAGGCAATGAAGTACTTTATCAATAACTAGGTAACTTCCATGGCAGCAGAGAAATTTGACACTGTCGGCTTTGCATAACAGTATATCCACTAGTGCTCTTGACTCAATGTATTACACATAGAGAAGCTGAGAACTGCCTACTGCTGGAGCTACGTTCGGTCCAACATTATACTAACTCACTAGTGTATTACACACCTCGATTACATTCCTGTATCCTACACAATGATTCTTATTGACGTGAACGGTGACAAAAACCTAATGGGGTCTTTGTGCTCGGTCTCTATCGTTATTAGTCTCCAACAGCATGACACACGCACACTCCTATTATATAGTTGATAAAGAAAAGAGTGAAGATGAGTAACCGTAGGTGTTTTCGCCAAGGAGAGTGGTTCAGATTTCACACTGTACAATTATAATAATATCAAATTTGGTGCTGGCAATACTACTTACTATAAATTTCAAGTCCAGCAGAAGCGTTTGGACTCGCATGGCTGTTTTTAGCCAGACAAGTGTAGGTGCCTTGATTGCTCTGGTAAGTGACGTTCTCCAGTTTGAGCAAGGACGAAATGCCCACGCTCCCTGGCTGTATTAGAGAAGCATTACTGAAGTTCGAATTGGAAATCGTGACAGATGAGTGAGGTGAGAGAAGAGTGCCATTGAAGGACCAACGAATTACTGGAACCGGGTTTCCACTGACTTGGCATAGGAACGATACAGAGGAGTACTCATTAACTCGTTCCGAGACTGGATGACGAACAATTCGAGCTGGCTCTGCGGATACAATTGAAAATTTACAGTATGTCCAGTTTCAGATGGATTATACTTGTAGATTACGTTTTTCATACTTCCTGCACATCTCACCTTATTTGTACTCTTCTATAACTTCCCTGGAGTTTCTCAAGCCACTGCCTCTAGTTCCATCGTATAATAACTGGACTGGTACCAAAACTTATACTATTTTTCAGTCAATGTTTACAATATCAGTGAACGACCTTCGAATTCTGGAATATTGCAGATGATGAATGCAATTTGAATGCAATTTCAGTGAAGGAACATAGTCTATCTAAGATGTTCGATGTAAGTAGTTAACTTTAAGTTACTTGAGTATCACGTGCCATAGACGTAGAGCTTGCACAGCTGACATTTACAAGTACATGTTTAAGCGTTAGTGATACAATGCTACACGTGGAGACGAGAAATGGGATATTATTTATGCTATTACCGGTATTCGAGAAATCTTTGTTTCACACTTACAATATATTTCAGCAAAATAACTTTTTAGATATCTGCAAGAAAACTACACAAAATGGGTAAACTGTTTTCACTTGATTGTACAGACAATTTTCAAAAAGGGTTCGAGCGTTCAGGGAGAAGATATTACTTGCATGACGCATTGGCAGAACGAACAAGGCAGACTCGAGCATTTCAACATTCTGCAGCCTTTGCGTTACTGAGCTCGGCAAGCCGCCGCCAACAACTACGTAATTCTCGGCTGTAGCTTACAAGCATGACATGCCTACTCGTACTATGTCACTTTGCCACAATGTACAGTTAGCTGTTATGATCGCTATATTCATCCGTTTCCAGCTTAATTTCATTGATGTAAATAGTTGGCATTTCGTGTATTTTTAGAACTGGTTTATTATTCCTTTTGCCTATTCTGAAGTTGTATGGGTGTGTGCACCTCTTTGACCTCGCTCGTTCCTCATTTCTTTACTTATTGTGGCTGATGTGAAGACTATGCAAGCTTTGCTTGGTGATGGCAACGCAAACAAGCATAATAATAATATCCACAAGAAGATAGATACATCCTGTTTGAGCCCTTCGTGGCTTCCAAAGCTGCGGGGTAAAGCCTTTAGAAGTTATAAAGAAAAAAGTTCAACACGAACAACCCAATCATTGAATGAATGATACGGTAGGAACTTGCCTTCGTAGAGGATAGTAAAGTCAGTGCAGGCAGATCCAGCAGGATTGATGAGGCAAGCCGTGTAAGTTCCTGTATCGGAGTGGTGGAGTCTCTTGAAGGTCAGATTCAGCCGGTCCAAAGACAAGAAGTGTCTAGCTGTTATGTTCCATGTTGAGTTTCCGTTCTTATGTTCAAGTCAGGCAATGTATGCAAGAAGAAAATCACATCCGAAGGCATGGTTTAGAGTAAGTAAAAATGAAAGATTCGCGTCAAGACAGTCAACTTCCCCTTCACTCAAATCAGTTTACAAAGTCAGGGGAAATTCTAGATGAACGAGGGAGTAGGAGCGGATCTAGGCCCTTGTCAAACAAGCTGGGTCTGGCGGTAACTAGTAGTCTAGAAATGTGCAAAGATCTGTTCAAGGAAAAGTGGACTTTGATCGCATAAACAAATTTTCAGCAGTGTTCTGGGCAGTAAAAAGGAGTGTCAATGTTCGTGTCCATTCCCGAATGGATTTCACGACGTCCGCTTACACCCGGTAAAGCCAGAGAGCAAAACAGTCGCCATAATATGAATTCCAAGGGGTTATATTTTCTCAAAAAGGCTCGACGCTCAATACCATAATTTGCATTCTAGGATACAACCACGTTCAGAAGATATCTGATCAGACCTACACCAGTTCAATCAGCGAAGTGTAGATAATAATCTAATTGATTCCTATCGGAGCGCAATTGAACTATGCAACCTTGCCCTGGAAAATATAATTACTTTAAAGCTTTATTGTTATTGCATTCTTGTCTCCGAGGACACTGTAAACAACCGAACGTTACGACACAGCTTTCCGCCATGTGTCCAAATGTGCATTCCCAAGAGTGATCATTCCTTTACACTCCGTTATCATCAATATCATCCTCTACTGCTGTGCTCCAGCAGGGAGCGAAATAGCAGTATAGAGGCGTAGAAAAATATTATCTCTCAACGGAAGTGTCCTTGCTGTTGTCTTTATAGTTCGGCTGAGAGCGCGTGGTTGTGGCGAGTTGGGAATGCGAGGACATTGTTTCCTGAAAAAGCACGCACATTTTAGATACCATACAAATTATACTGCCTGATTTTTGTTTTACCAGTAGCAGAGGGTCTAATGCATACCTTCGACCACGTTACATTGTTCTGAGACGAAGTGGGCACAGGTGGATCTCCAATGTTCTCAATTGTTACCTCCAGAGAAAGGGAGCTGTTCTCTTTGCCCGTCTGATCTCCATGTTTTGCTTTGATTTTCGGAAGACCTATAACAGAGATAGAATTGAAATTTGTAAAATCATGTTCACACATCGACATGTTGCGACACATCCGTTAGGGATCATTGCCAAAGTTGTTGTCGTCCCTGAAACGAACATGATTTGTTGGGGGGGGGGGGGTGCGAGCCAAAATCGCAAGGCAACCGACCTGTACGTGTACATGTACATGCGAATGCGATTTTCGTCGTCCAGCATAGCAAGCTGTGTTCGTTTCAGAGGGAGGGGAGGGGGTCCGAGTACGAAATAAACAATGTTCGTTTCAGGGCCGACAGAACACCTTTGCGACGACCCCTTAGGCCGCAGTGAAAGTGAAGTGTGGACTGGGATGGAGAGCCAAGGATAAATTTATAGAAACGAAAACGGTTCGAGAGTGAGAGCCGTTAGTCAGTTAGCTGTAGAATGTCAGTCCCGTCGGTCAATGTCGTCCAATTTTATCGCATGAGTTGATTGTTTAGTAACTGGTGGTCTTAGTGGACATTATAACGTAACTTATGTGTTCAGACACCCAATGTATAATGAAGTGAGAAAGGAAAAAAATGGAGCTTACTTTGCACCCGCAGGTAAAGTAGAGCCGAATCAGTTCCATTTGGATTTCTGCCCACACAGTAATAGGGCCCTTGATCAGAGCGGTTCACTTTAGCGAACGTTAACACGCTGGAATATGTATGCGCGGTAGTTGTGGTAAAATTCTGCACAATGCCCGAAATGGGGGAGAAATTTAACGATGTCCATGAAATGGTGGGTCGCTCAATTCCACGGAACGTGCAACTCAAGCTGACATTGTGTTGATGCTCATTGCAGACTACAGTATTGCCACTTGTTGAATTCACATACTTTGGCACCGCTGTGACCAGGCAGCCAGAAAATGGTAAATATCAAAAACTTTACAACACCTGCTGCCATGCATTCATCGGTATAATGATGGAACAATCAGCACAATAGGAAAAAATAACGCTTGTACACAATCACGTGCAGTAACAACGTCAACCCCAGCAAAGATGTTGATTTGTTCCGTACATGTATTAGATAGGATTCTCAGGCTGTACAGTATATAGGATAGTGCACGGATCCGAGGAGAATATTTTTCATAATCCCCGAGGCGCTGCGCTCCTTGGAGATTATGAATAATATTCTTCTGAGGACCAATCCGTGCACTATCTGTATATAGCTCGACTTGTCAGGGGTCAGCACAGCCATCACGGTACGCAGTCTTTGGCTTTCACACTTTTTCAGTTAATAATAATAATAATAATATAGACAGGAAAAGGACATAAGGATACGAGTTAAGAGTAACTCTCCATCACTGTAACTGGATACTATAATACAGTCAGAAAGTGCAATAACTAGCCACAAAACTGACAAGTGTAGTGATTCATTCGACGTCCTGACACCTAGCTTCAACACATCTCCGTAGAGCTAACCGACAGCCTTCCAACTTGGAAGGTTCAATGTTATGGAAAGACCAAAGATGGGAAGGCAAGATCAACGAAAACGAGCAAAAGCTACAGTCCCAACGGAACAAAGAATGTCGATTGTTACTGGACGATGACGACACCAGTACGATATTTGACAAAGCGGTCTAACTACAATTCGAAGCAGCAAAGCAGCACACCACCCAACCTGGGTGGGTCATAAATATCAAAGATAAGTAAAGAAAGGGGGAGCTTTGCGAAAACGAATTGTACAAGCCGAAAGCCAAACTCCTACAGTACTCCTTATGCATGACATTGTGATGGACTAGTTGACTACAAAACAAATTGTTTCATACGACGTACGTTTCGCCGTTTTGTTCGCAATTTGAAACTCTTGTCAGTTGTGTGGCTAGTTATTACACTTTCTGACTGTATATATGTTGGACTCAGTAGAGCGTCCAGCCCCTATATGATGTCCAACCCCTATATAGAGTCCATTGGTCCAAAATCCACTGTACAGAGTCCAAACTTGGAATAAACTGTGAGCTCAAAGTTTAGATGGACATCACTCCCTGTATGGAGTCCAGTCAATGGGCTTCACCCCTATATAGAGTCCATTGGTCCAAAATCAACTGTACGGAGTCTAAACTTTGAAATCAACTATAAAGAGTATGTGGACAACACTCCCTGCATAACGTCCAGACAATTAGGCATCCCCTATCCAGAGTTCGAAATTAGACATAGGATCTGCTGTAAGCAGTGAATATTAACCAGAAAACGGCCTCTCCCTTTAATCCTTTACATCATTCACTTCTCAAGATAAAAAATAAGTATTGAGGCGCCACTGCAGCCACTTCATTACATGAAACACCCTACAAAGACCATCCTCAAATCAAGTGGTCTCTTCGCAGACGCTGCAAAATACAATATCTCAATCATGTAGTGTTGCCAAAGTATTGTGCACGCACACACACACATGTACACACCCACACAACGCCAAGAAAATACCTAGAAAAAAACCAAGAATTGAAAGAGAATAATGGAGAGCCAAGGATTAATTATTTGTTTTCAAATTATGCGGAATGCGGAAAGCCCGGCTTCCAGCCGAGTCTCACGCGAACCGTGATTTTTCAAATTATTGTGCGCGCGCACACACACACAAACTTATACAACGCCAAGAAAACACCAAGAAAAGAGTAGAGACACAATACACACGCAACTCCAACAGCCATGCAAACGTCCACCTATTTACACGTAAAGTCAAGAGGGATAACAAATAATTATACGAAACGAATGCATACGTGGGCGGATGCACGCACGTTTACATACATGTAGTAGTGTAAGAGAGTAACATAGTGCAGTAGTCAGCATAATACTAGCACATGCTGAGAGTGCAATAGCAAGCTTCACCATTGCTCATGGCCATGCAAATGTTCAGCAGCACTCAGTTCCGCAAGCTTCTGAAGATCAGCACACCTGCAACAAATAGATAGCACAAGGATACGCTTATTACCGTAATGATGCATGGGAGCACACAACTACCAAGTTCTCAACGAATGTGATGCTCAATGAAAATCCATCCACTCAAAGACCTGTGAACAGGTGACGGTGGGGACAATAATCTATTAGTAATACGAGGAATAAGGTCGTTTGTGCACACTCAAGACACACAGACACACCACCATACATGTAGTGTACACAGTGTTTCACTTCACTGTAACTAAATTGAAATGAGATGATTTGAACAATCTGTACAGCGTTGCCGTCAGTCAGTCTTCCCCAAGATGGAAATGCAATGATTTGTTGTACGAGGCAGTTTCACTGACACAATGTCATGTTTGTGACATCAAAATGGTTACTTCATGGAATACGAGTACATGTATTAGCTTGAGAAGCTTTTTCTTGTCATCGGCATACAAGAAATCCTCCTCCTACTCACTACTAGTACACTGGCACAGCGTTTGTGGATCCCATTGTATTTGACATCATACTAGAGCCTAGTAGAGGAAGGGTGTCGTGGAGTTACATAATTATCACAGGGATAAAAATATATTTCTCATGAAATAAAATAATAATTGATGATAGCTGACGATCGTATACGATTGATGCAAAGTCCTTGCAATTCTTGAGGATTATTACGAAGTGGTTGATTACTTTTAGGGCATTCATTCAAGCAACATCAAACAAACGCGATACGCTCCTTGAAAATGGAAACAAATTCAAGCATAACGACAGAACAGCAGACCAATCGAAACGAGTAGAAGCTTCCTTACCTCAGTCATCGTCCTGCCATGTAGTTGGACAGCCTTTTGACACGGTGGTACAGGCAGCTCTTGTCCAGTCGAACAGGGTATCCTTGTGGCGTCGAACGAAAGAGAGTGTCAGTGTATCTGACTCGTCAGATTGGAACTGTGCTGAACTTTTCTCGTTCTCCGCTTTCTGCTTTCATCCCTCGCTCTGATGAAACCGTTCAAACGTCTTACTGGCAGCAATGGCCAGCCAAACAGGGGATCTTTGTGGCGTCGAACGAAAGAGAGTGTCAGTGTACCTAACTCGTCAGATTTGAACTGTGCTGAACTTTTCCCGTTCTGCAATTTCTGCTTTCATCCCGCGCACTGATGAAACGTCTTCAGAGAACCACAAGACGCTTTCCAGATTTGATTTTGAACGTCTCCTTAACTGTCAGCAACTGCACAGCAGAACTGACAGCCATGGCTGAAGTGAAGAAAGGAATGCGCTGCCATGAGGCAAGCAAAACTGAAAAGGTGTTTGTTCTCTTTCGGGCACAACACACAGTTCAGGACGGCGTGACTGGATAAACTGGACTCCTGGACCGTGAATAGGGGACTTGTAGAAAAAGTGTACTCCTTATAGGGGATTGCGCGGCAGGATGAAGCTGATCAAAACTGAGTGGACTCCTGGACTCTGTATAGTGGATTTTGGACCAATGGACTCTATATAGGGTGCTGGACATCATATAGTGCATGGACTCTATACTGAGTCCTACATATAGTATCCAGTTACAGTGATTGAGAGTTACTCTTAACTCGTATCCTTATGTCCTTTTCCTTTCTACATTTATTTATGGCTCAACATCCGAGTTTCAAATAATAATAATAATAATAATAGCAATGAAAAATATCAATTGTGCACTCATAATCATGTATAAACAATTAAAATGAAACAATTCCAGAACGTTTTCGTGTGACCATCATCAGTGGAACATCGTCACATAGTAAGAATCACTAAAACAACCAGTTATATAGCTAGAGTAACATGAAAAGAAGCGTGAGAATGCAGCACAGCTAGCGGTTATGCATAACGCGTGTAGTGTGAACCTTTGCAGTGTATCTGAGAATGGTAGCAGTAGATGAATGTGGCAGCTGTGAGTGCGTGTGAACAAAAACTGGTGAGTGCGTATTATTTAAAAAGTGTGAGTGCTACAACATTTTCTTTTTGCTTGCATAGAACAGGGTCACGTGTGCGAATATATACAGCTTCCAACACCTGCAACTGCTTAAAGAAACGCGCGCGACAAATAACACTAAACCAGGAATCGTCAAACAACTTACGACAATCCGGACTGGACACCAAATGCTTGTAGATGGCAGACTTGCTCTTGTCGATGTCGAACTCCTCCTCGTCCGTATCACTCTCATCCTCCACTTCCCGTTCCTGCTCACCCTTACTTTCCTCCTGACCATCCTGTTCATCCCCATCATCATCCTCCATCTCCATCTCCTCATGCCATCGCTTCTTTCTCCTTGACGTGTTCACTGCTGCGCCCGTACTTTCACCTGCCACTACTGGTTCCGCCTTCTCCATTTTTCTCAGTCGTGTCTCCGCTAGTCTCTGGCTTCTCCTCAGATTCGTTTTTCCTCCATTTTCATTTCGTTCTCCTGGTGATCTTTCCGTTACCGCCATCGGGTTTGTTAATGAACGGTCGTCCGGTGGTCTCCCATGCCGTGTTGTTGTCGTCAAGAGTGACACCAGATTCGTGTGTTGCGCTACTGTTGAGTCCGGTGTTGTATCCGTTTCTGGTTGTGTTGTAATACTGACAGGCGTAGTAGTAGGCAACGGGTGTTTTCTCGGCCTCCCACGCTTTGGCCTGCCTGCCCTGGCCGCTTTTGACAACAAGGACTTCCTGGTTTAGTGTTATTTGTCGCGCGCGTTTCTTTAAGCAGTTGCAGGTGTTGGAAGCTGTATATATTCGCACACGTGACCCTGTTCTATGCAAGCAAAAAGAAAATGTTGTAGCACTCACACTTTTTAAATAATACGCACTCACCAGTTTTTGTTCACACGCACTCACAGCTGCCACATTCATCTACTGCTACCATTCTCAGATACACTGCAAAGGTTCACACTACACGCGTTATGCATAACCGCTAGCTGTGCTGCATTCTCACGCTTCTTTTCATGTTACTCTAGCTATATAACTGGTTGTTTTAGTGATTCTTACTATGTGACGATGTTCCACTGATGATGGTCACACGAAAACGTTCTGGAATTGTTTCATTTTAATTGTTTATACATGATTATGAGTGCACAATTGATATTTTTCATTGCTATTTTACGACTGTTGTCTCCTCGTCGGTTATTTAAATAATAATAATAATATCTTTATTAGGATGACCCAGAGCTAGATGCTTGTCGCCACCAAGGGACTAGCTGTAAGCAGGGAGTACAGTAACAATTATGACTTTGCTGGCCAAATAGCTGAGGCTGCAGTCACCTCACCAATCATCTCATATTTTCAATGTTCCTTTTATTTTACTTTAACAATTTCGCAACCTCTCTCTCCCTCCCTCTCTCTCTCTCTCTCTCTCTCTCTCTCTCTTTCTCTCTCTCTCTCTCTCTCTCTCTCTCTCTCTTTCTCTCTCTCTCTCTCTCTCATTCTCTCTCTCTCTCTCTCTCTCTCTCTCTCTCGCTCTCTCGCTCTCTCTCTCTCTCTCTCTCTCTCTCTCTCTCGCTCTCTCTCTCTCTCTCTCTCTCTCTCTCTCTCTCTCTCTCTCTCTCTCTCTCTCTCTCTCTCTCTCTCTCTCTCTCTCTCTCTCTCTCTCTCTCTCTCTCTCTCTCTCTCTCTCTCTCTCTCTCTCTCTCTCTCTCTCTCTCTCTCTCTCTCTCTCTCTCTCTCTCTCTCTCTCTCGCTCTCCCTCCCCACCCACTCTTGGTGCGTCTAGGTGGCTATGATGTCGAGACCCTAGGTCGGCGGAGCTCCCTAAACCTCACCACCACTGCCACGATTCAGGTTGTGCGTGCTTCCCCTAGCTGCATCTCATGTTTGGCATTAAGTGGTCTTTGTAAAAAAAAAAACAAAAAAAAAAACAGTGCTCTGTAGTACTTTTTCAAGCTCAACAAAAAAGGAAAGGCAAGTTCGCAAGGCAAGGAAACATGACACAGTAACAAAACACAATCTGACAAATGAAAAAACAATACCAATCCTGATCTTTTTTCTCTTTACATTGCCTCAGCCTTTTATGGTTTTCTTATTGTTCTGGTGGGAGTTCAGGCCCCACATGTTGTGTACTCTTGTAAGTCCTGATCTGTGCATTTTTCTCTTTGAATTTTCTCACCCAATTAATTTGGGGGGGGGGGAGGGAGGGAGGGTGATGGGCAGTATGACCAGTGCTCAGTTTCCAATGCAACATTGTTGTTGAGATTTGAGATGCGTGCGTGTGTTGGATTTCTCTTGTTAAGGTTCCATAGCAAACCTATTTACGATACAATACAATGTACTTGCTTTCATTTGTTGTTCAGTTACCATGGCAACGTTGTCGTTGACGTTGCAGACATACATGTACTTAAAGTCTTTGTTACCAGTTATTCATGCGCAGCTGTAATTGCACGTTCACATCCATGTTCAACTTATACAAATGCCATATTCATGGTGCTCAAGTAAGAGTATTGTAAATATGTCCACTTGTTCAATTACCTTCCTGTAATAAAGTCACTTGATTGAGATTTCACACGGCAGCTTTCAGGCTGGCTCTTTGGGGTTTGTTTGGCTAGCTTGCTTTGGCCTACTCTCGCTAGGTATAGTGAGAGCAGTCCAAAGTCTAGGGCTCTTTCCCCTCACCCAGGGGATTATGAAGAATAACCCCCTGGGTCAGGAGATTTTCAGCACTTGAACCCCTGACAAGTCGAGCTATAGGTTGCTAGCAGGAAATAGCAAAGCTAAGATATAATCAATCCCAGCTACGGTTCCAAGCACTTTGGTAGTTCACATTATTTCAAATCCAGACTTCACCTGCTGCATTTAATGAATGACTATCTTGACTTGTGCTCGTACACGGATATCACGGTCTGAACAACACTGGAAGACAGGAAAATCTTCGTGACTAATTCTTACCATTGACTGTGACGTGCGTGATGGCTAACGCTGTGGAGACGATATTACTTGCTGTGCATGTAACATTGTGTTTGTAATAAGGATTGCGCACTCGCACGTTGCTCTCCATGTACATTGATGTAAAGTATGGCTTGCTTTCATGGGAACTGTACGAAGTGGTCCCACTAAGAACAGGATTTACTTGCCAGGCGAATGTCGGCTTAGGATTGGCAAATGCAGTACAGTTAACCACCAGAAAGCCTCCTTCCAGCACATACAGATATGGCTGCATACGAGCGTCAAATTTTGGACCCACTGCAACAGAAAAATAACAAAAATTTGAGATGGCATCAATTTCTAAAAGTTGTTGTCCTTAATGTGGAGCTTACCCTCCTGACCTTCAAGCAACTTATTTAAATTTGCATAAAAAAAACTGCAAAAACACTATTAGCTAGTAATTTATGTGACTAATGCATTCTGTCCGTTTTAGCCTTTCTTCCGTATATGCACAAATAAGCAAAACAAAAGCAAGTTCATGGACACGCAAACAAGCTAAAAACGTCGCCTTCTCACCGTTAACCGTTAATGTGGACGAGGAATTAACGGAATCCAAATAATTGCTGGCGTTTGTATATGAAGTGCTATTGGCAGTGCTGACACAAGTGTAGGTTCCCTGGTCCCAGTAGGAGATATCCTTGACTAACAGTTGGCTCCTGACTGAAGCCGGCTTTGAGGAGGTCGCATTGGTCATGATTCCTGTTTGGACCATCGATTCTGATATCGCCAAGTCATTTTTGAACCACGAAAATGATGGCGTCGGATTACCATAGCTGCCACATATCAACGTTAGCGAGCTGTTTTCGTACACTATGCGGTTAGCGAAAGCAGCAGTTATATTTGGAGGAACTGTAAGACAAAGATACAGAACAATGCAACACGTTGTGCACGTTCACATACAGTGCGGATCGCCTATAGGGTTGTCGCCTATATGGTTGCCGGCTATAGTAATAATTATACATCTTATAGTGATCTTTTTTTCTCAAATTCATTTTCGTAAACCACCCCTTTCTGTACATATCGGATCGGCTATAGTAATAATCGGCTATAGTAATATCGGCTATAATGATACGATTTCTTTGTCAAAATGATTTTATTGCATACATTTTTCATCGGCTATAGTGATGATCATAACAAATTATACATCGTACATGGCAAGATCTGATCGCGGCAGTCAGGAAGCGCTGGTACGACTATGATATCCCTCGGATTCGAAATGTTTGGCGTTGGCTGCGCTTGTTGTTCCGGGGAATCCTCGAGCGAGAGCGTAGGCAGTAAGGAGTACCAGCACTGAAGCGCTACCGTGGTCTCCGCTGATATGTTGGAGAAGGCATTCAGGTAACAGCGAAGACGATCAGGGACGCGGAGAAGCTTCTCCGTGACATACGACATCACGCGTCGATCGACTTGCCACTTGGAACGGTTTAAGCGGTGATGAGTCAAGCGATGGCGACCCAGACTGAGACTCTACTCCCACTAATCAATCCTGTAGATATTGTTGATATGTTGATCGAATGTGTTGAAGTGTTTCTCTTCCCAAAGAACACATTTGTTGAGCACAGCAACTGTACTAAAATTGAATGTAAAATGAAGCCTAGACTTGGATTAACACTGTTAAAATATAATCCCGAAATTATCCCAGGACGAGAATTGGTACGGACCTCGGCGATAATTTAAGAAGGAAGTTGATTGGTCGAGTCAGTGGAGTCAGCTTTTTTCGCTTGTTGTTGTATACTTTATTTATAGTGGAAATCAAAACAGGCAAAATGCCTAATAACATTGGACCCACTGTTGTAGCTTTTTTCGCTTCAACATCACTTGACAGTAGACTGACGCATGACTGTGATCTGAAACACACGAGACGTCCATCGAACCTTCCATTCGGCAATCCAACAGTTTGGAAGTTTTCAAATCGAATGACGAAGATTTGTCGTGTGAAGGATTCATTAAACATTTCGTGTGCTCTAGATGTAAGTCCTGAATCAGTGACTACAATTTGGCAAAATGTCGCAAAAGCGGAAGGTCCGGTGATGGCGGCGAACAATAATATCCTTAGAAAAGAAAAGAAGAAAGGTTGTTGTAATCGCACAGATTCACCATTCACTGCGGGAAACTGTGAACTCACCATATATGTCCAAATGCGCTAGTGCGCTGAAAGTCGCCCCTCCGAGATCAGGTCGTGCACTGTCTTGGTTATTAGCGTAGCACTGGTAATGTCCAACGTCTCCGTATCGAAGACTGCGGATGGTTAACGTACCATTATCGGCTGCCAGAAAGAGACGCCATGACGGGAAGAGAGGCTGGAAAGACGAGTAATAGGGTAAAGGAACGGTAAATCAACAAGTACAAGTACAAGATCTGGTTAAGTTGGTAGACAGTTAGTCATCAGTCGTAACGCTTTGTCCTTCTCCTTTTTCACACTAAATCAACAAGTAGATATACCTCGACAACCAGTGATACTATAAACTGCATGAGCGCAAGGGTTGAGTTCGGTACAGAGGATTTTTTTCTGGTTAGGAGAGCTTAGAAACAAGAGGTGTTCTCAGTGTGTTGAGAATGTTCCTGTGCCTGCTTACGTGGCATTGGTAAAAATGGAATGACACTGTAAACGCGTCGAACCTCTGATACTTGGTCATGCACAACTTGTGTGTGAAACCATCAAAGAGGCTAAATTTAGGATTAGAATAGATTCAATCGAAAAGAGCCAGATTGAAACCGTACAAGACCTTCTATTCTACTCTGTTCCGAGTTTGGCCTTTGCTTTTGGGGTACGAATAAAGAAACTTCTTCGTGTTCAACGGTTTCTGAGTTTGAACACGAAATTCTAAGCTAGTCACCGGAGCTAACCGCTGAGCAAGCCATTCACCCCAGGCTCAATTGCCTGTGTGCGTTGCGTCAGAGTTTGATAAAGTTATCATGTTCCCTGGTGAGTATTCGTGACCCTCTCTAGTGGCATATTTACTTATAATTACCAAAACAAAATACTTTTCTCAAAACGCGAAGATTCCACTGTAGCCATCCACTATATCGATTTATCTTCACTCTCCAAACGGTCTCTGGGCTACACCAATCACTAAAAGAAAAATGATTCAAATTTTCGGGCAAGGCCCATCTTCAGGAATGTATGGATAAAACACAATACTAGTAGGGTAAAGAACTACACGGTAACTGCAGAACCTTAATGGTTCCCATTGCCATAAAAAAATACACAGGAACACAAACACACTCACCACAGCGTCTTTGTACCACGTGATCCTGGGCTTGGGAATTCCATGCATAGCACAGATGAACTGGGCTACTGAACCTTCGGATGATTTAATGTCTTCTGGCGCGGATAGCTGGAATGGACGCACTGCGATCATAATTGGTGTCAGAAAGCAAAGGACTGATTGACATGAAAATATAGGATATTTTAAAAGATATCCAAAAAGCAGAGAAAGAGATACTCTTGAAATCATGCTGGCTGCCATACGTAATAATGTCGGATAAAGTGTTATAATTATGCTCTCTTCTTTGCGGTTCCGATGCATGTTCTCCATGGTAGCGGGTTCGTTATTCTGAGCTTGACATCACTTTCATTAATCACACATCACCTTTCTGATTATTGAGCGTTGAAACCGACCCTAAACCGACCCAGAAGCGGAAAAACACTGAATTTCTTTATTTAGCGCTCTACTACGCGAAATGTGCTATTATTATTATTTTTTTAAAGAGGTCGAGGCGGATAATTTATTATTATTACTATTATTAGAAACTTACCATATATAGTCAGATCTGCTGAGCTATTGGCTTGAGAATGGATGTTCTTGGCCACGCATTGGTACCTTCCCTGACTCTGTTCGTTGGTTACATTGAACAAGGTTACATGTGACCATGTACCCAAGCTACCACGATTCAAAATCGCCATATTGCTGAACGGCCCGTCGCTCATATGCACTGTGGATGAGGACCGTAGTACGGTTCCATTGAAGTACCAAGTGATGTTTGGAGCAGGATTGCCACTGGTGTTACACTGGAAGTGTACTGTGGCGATCTCATTCACAAGCACATCTTCCGGTCCACGAATAATGCGCGGGAGTTCTAGAGCACAATGCAATATTCAACAATTCTCTTATTGGCCACTGGCTATCGTGAGAATAAAGATTTGAAACAAGCATGTATAAGGAATAATATAGCGTCATAAGGATAATAAGGAGGTAATGATCAAAGTAAACTAAGATTAACTTAGGCAACATTTGCCTATTCAAATAGGGGACGCACTCTCAGTGACATTTATGCAAACATTAACAATTCAGATGCTCTTTGTGTTGTCAGTATGCAACAACAGCAACGCTTGGCATGCAAAGTATATTATAGTAAAATGTAACTCAAACATATGGCATGGATGCTACATGCATTCCTGCTGCACATGGAAACTCTATGCACTGGGATCTAGATTACAGCTCCTTCAAGGTGATCTAACCTTCGTAGAGTATGGAGAAATTGGTACAAGCAGACCCAGCTGCATTGATGAGGCAAGCCTGATACTCCCCAGCATCTGAATAATGGATTTTGTTGAATGTAAGGTTTAGTCGGTCCGGTGATAATGACGCGAATGATGACAGCCCACTCCATGTAGATTGGTTCATCTAAGTGGTACGAAGGAAATTGAAGAATGTGAAGTAAATGTTGTTACCATGTCTAATGCATTCGTGTGAGTTGAGTCGCCTAGCACTTCTAAACGCTCCTGAAGTATTTTAAACCTTTGAAGATAGTGCAAGAAAAGGATCAAATTAGGGCTGTGCCTTACGAGCCCGTGTAGTGTCACAGGCCGTCCGACTTTTCAAGTCTGGAGAAAATGCTGAACGGTCTCTGCCGGGATGACAGCTACACCAAAGCCCAGTGGCTAGCACATTATTTTGTTTTGTTTTAAGTACACGTATAATGCGATTTAGAACCGGTTTCGAATGACTACTACGAATATTTAAATTTCTCTAGCCCGCTCAGGGACTCGTAAACACGTCTTATGGCAGGGGACATATTTGCCACGTGTGTATGCTCATATACGTGTGTATACACCCGACCAACATAGAATGCCATCCACGGAGCGGTTAATGCGTACCTTTGACCAGGTAACATTGAGTGGGCTTGATAATGGCACAGCTGGATCTCCCAAGTGGCTCACCAGGACTGACAGAGACAAGGTCGTATTCTCCACACCGTTTTGAACAGGCATTCGAGATGAAATCCTCGCAGGAACTTGATGGCATCGGGCAAAATAAAAGCAAAAAAACAATTCAAGGAAAACTTCACATAGTGTGTCTTCGCATACATTAAATCCAGCTAACACAATCCAGAAGACATTTCCTTTAACTTATTTTAATAGACATCTTCTTTCCCCTCTCTTCAGGATCGTAAAGGGAATGATGGAAATGTTGCAAAAGACATAACTATACGAAGTGGTGGTTGCGACTTCGGCGGTGATTTGTAAGAAAGGGTTTGCTCCCCACACCGGAGCTCGCGCTATTCCGCCGACGTTACTTGACGCTTGACTGACTCACGACTGCCATCGAGAGCACACGTGAAGTCCATCGAACCTTCGACTCGGCAAACCTGCAAGAAAGCACCACTCCCTGCTCAATACACAGTGTTTCGGCGAATTCACCCCTCATCAGTTGAGCTTGAGTAGGCTGAGGAAAACTGTGCCTGAAGAGCACCACTTATATAGTGCTCTCCAGGCACAAACATCACCAGGGATAGAAACTTATAGAGACGCTCGGTTTCCAGCGCGACAAACACCTCGTGAACACCAGGTAGCAGCGTGAGTCAGTGTCGCTCCTGGACGGTGAGACAGACGTCGAGGACCCTCGGTCATTCACAACTCCGGTGTGGGGAGCAAAACCTTTCTTACAAATCATCGCCGAAGTTGCAACCACTACTTTGTACTGTTGTGCCCAGCGCGGGCTTGCGACTAGTTGGTTTGGAGGTGACAGCGTTGCGAATGACGGAGGGCCCTCGACGTCTGTCTCACCGTCCAGGAGCGACACTGACTCACGCTGCTATCTGGTGTTCACGATGTGTTTGTCGCGCTGGAAACGGAGCGTCTCTGTAAGTTTGTATCCCTGGTGATGTTTGTGCCTGGAGAGCATAGTGGTGCTCTTCAGGCACAATTTTCCTTCTTCTCGTGTGCTCTGGATGGCAGCCGTGGGTCAGTCAAGTGTCAAGTAACGTCGGCGGAATAGCGCGAGTTCGGGTGTGGGGAGCAAACCCTTTCAGACATAACTTTACCAAATACATTTTACTAAGTTTGTGGACAGCATGCTGTTTCGTTCTTTCTGAACTCATCAGCGTATCACAGACAATATGAAGCAAAACCCGATTGCAATGATAAATTAAAAAAATTTCGAAAGCCAATTAATTAAACGTACCTTGTCAAAGTGCTCAAAATGACAAGCCACGAAGTTCTACGCAATCCAAACATCAAAGGCCCTGTCTTTGAACATTGCCATCATTTTCTGGTCTCGCCCATAACTAACATAAGAAGAACACCGACGGTATTTGATTCAATTGACACTCCGTACCGCATGGCAAGAAGGGAAACCGAGCGAAAATTCCAAAACTGCTTGATGTAGCTTCCGCGCGTCAGTTCGCGGTGCAAGTCAGGTGTGTTACAAACACGGCCAAACTGAGACCTCTTATAATGAGTGGAGAGCCAGTCACTTCACCAGCACAACTTCTTTCTGTCACAGTGGTGACCAGCATTTTATATCAAATATTCCTTAAAGTGAACCCAACCTTTCGTTCTCTTTCAATGGCCTTGTCTCAATCTCCTTTCATTTTCAGTTTACCCGGTATTAAACTTTGCGTCAAGTAAAATGAAGGAAGGTGCTGTGGTAGTGTGGGGTTGGGTATCAGGATTTAATGTTCAAGTTCCTAGTCTGTGTCCCATGCAAACAATAATTTATAGAGAGAAGTGTGGCAAGAACAAGAGTGGAGCTTACTTTGCACCTGCAGGTAAAGTCGCGCTGAGTAAGTTCCATTCGGATTTCTGCCCACACATTTGTAGTCACCTTGATCTGAGCGGGACACTTCAGCGAACGTCAAGACGCTGGAATAGGTATGTGCTGTAGTTGTGGTGAAATTCCGTATTGTTGCCGACATCAGGGAGACATTCGTTCGTTCCCAAGTAATCGTGGGTCTTTCAATTCCACGAAACGTGCAACTCAAGCTTACATTGTGTTGATGCTCATTGCACACTACAGGAGTTCCGCTCGAATTCACAAACTTTGGCATCACTGTGGGCATGAAGGGAGGAAATACGTAGTGTTAAAATGGTCAGAACACCCGTTGTCACACATTATGCAGTATACTAGTACTTTGTTTCATCAAGTTAGGGTTCAACAGTTCTAAAACTAGGTATACATGTACTCGTATCAAACAGGGCAAATAATAATACTTTGTGTACGCTCACTAGACTGGAAGATAGCCAAGTCCACTGGGATAATACCTACCATTGACTGTGACGTGGGTGATGAATAGCGCTGTGGAGACGATATTGCTCGCAGTACATGTTACATTGTGTTTGTAATCAGCTGTGCGCACTTGCACGCTTCTCTCCATATATAGCGAGGTAAAGTACGGCACGTTTCTGTAGGAACTCAACGACGTTATCCCATATAGCGTAGGATTCACTTGCCAGGCGAATGTCGGCTCCGGATTGGCAAAAGCAGTACAGTTAACGAAGAAAGAGCTTCCTTCCAGCACGTACAAAGATGGCTGCATACGAGCGTCAAATGTTGGACCCACTAGAAAACAGGAAAAAAAAGTTGTCAAGAAATCAAGAAATCAAACACTTAGCGTTTTATACTTTCCTGGAATATTCAGATTTACAGCAGTGGGTAATCTAAAAATTACGTTTCACTATGGCCCTGATTCGCTTTACATAGTTATAAAATTACTGTATAACATGTTTGATTTAAGAGACTAGGCTGGGTGTTGTGTGATTCTGTGAAGACGTAAGTCAATTCTCTCCAAATTGTCCGCCATGTGCAATCTCTAAGCGGCGGCGTGCATATCGACAGGCGTTGTCAAGAAGTAGAGGAGATTGGAGTCTAGGTAAATATTGATGGTACACTAACCACAGTAACCGTCCAATCATCAGAATACGACTTTTTGTGGTGCAAATTCCTCGCCCAACTCTCACCTTGAACTGTTACGCTGACGGAGGTGGTTGCTGAATGCACTCCGGATGCTACATTGATCGTTGACGTGCAGATATATTTACCACTGTACGCGTACAAAGCATTCCTGATCGTTAGCGTACTGGTGGTGATGCTGAGCAAGCTGCTGTTATCTGACAGCAACAAAGAGCATACCAACTATTCACTAAGGTACATATTACTTTTAGTTGGGCGCACATATAATATTACATATTGCGAAAGAAACCATAGAACGCGAATTTGTGTGACGTGAAATCTCCCTTGGCAAATGGAAAGCAGGCGGGATAAGTCCAGACTACAGAGATAGTCAGTTTCAGAATGTAGCCAATATTTACACTAAAAGGAGCAGGTATACCGCAGCAAAACTAAAAAGATACCAAGACATAAAACAACACTGAGTTTCGATGCAAAAGTGCGTGTCAAGCAGAATGCGTCCGAAAGAGAGATAGAGAGATAAATAGATAGATAGAGGGAGACAAGAAGGAGAGAGAGAGAGAGAGAGAGAGAGAGAGAGAGAGAGAGATGACGGTTAGCCTATAACAGTGAATGGAGAGAGAAATGAAAATAGTTTGTTGGGAACTGATATGTCTACAGTTAGCAATAAGACATTTATTATAAAACAAATCTGAAGAGAAGGAAAACACAACTGAAGAGGCAAAACACATGAAGCACGGAAGTATCTCCCAAGCCAAGCAAGCATGCCGTTATGGTGCAAGGTCATACAACTGTGGTACAAATCTAGTACGGGAGTCCATGAACTACAGGTCAAATATGGCATGGGGGAATCCATATACATCACGCCTTCGAGATAATGCTGAGAAAACAAATCCAGTATTATCTATCAAATCAAATCAAAACAAGAAAAGAACAAGTATGGCAAATGACGGACCATAGCACACGGCGGAACAGACATAGCATGTCACACAAGGATACAGAAAGATACGATATAAGAACAATCCTCAAGAACATGTACACGATGTGTCCAGAACAAATCAAGATGCATAAGACTGTCCACGGGTGGAGGAAAGGTTCAAACGAGAGGGTGGTTGGTGTGCTCGTGTGCTGCGACGCAGAGGGGGAGGCATAGCAGGAGCAACGACAACAGACGGCTGTGGTGAAACACATGGTGCTGGTGACGGCACGGGTGGAGAGAACGGACGAAGAAAACGGCGATTTCTCCAATAAACTCGACCACTAGCCAACTTGACGAAATAGTCACGGTGCTGCCCAATGGCCACAATCACGCCACGGGTTGTCCAATGCTTCGTCTTCGGACCCTGGACGTCCACAGCAGTGGCGATACGGAGAACGGGAAGAGAGCGGTGGGTGGGAGTACTGGCTGAAACAGGTGTCGAGGGTGGTGACTGTTCTTCACGCTCACTAGCAACGGTGGACCACGAGGAAACAAACTGCGTCCACTCAGCAATGACGAAAGACCGAAGTGGATGCCCGAGAAGATGCTCAGCTGGGCTCTTGCCAGACGGACCGGGCGTATTCCGCCACTCCAGTAGACCACGAAATTAATCTGTGCCGAGATTGCCATTTGACGAGGTCTTTAGCAGCAAGCGCTTCATAGCTGTCACTGCGGCTTCCGCATGTCCATTACTCTGGGGATAAAGCGGGGAAGAGGATTCGCGTTGCACGTGCCAACGGCTACAGAAGTCGGCAAACTTCTTCGATGCAAACTGGGGGCCACCGTCGGTGCACAGTACAGCAGGCACACCCAGATCGGCAAACCAACGACGACAAGCGAGAATGACATCGTGTGATGACGGGGTCCTGCCGGTTCGAACAACGCACGGCCAATCAGTCAGATGGTCGACATAAACAAGAAACTCATAGCCTTGGCAAGAGAACAGATCAGCGGACACAAACTCGAACGGCAGAGTAGGATGACGGTCATTCATCGGTGGTTCGGCTGACTGCGACGCCTGGAATTCTCGACACGCGGAACAGGCACGGACAAGGGTGTCTATGTCGGCGGCGAGACCAGGCCAGTACTCGAGCTGTCGGGCGCGAGCCTTGGTGCGGACGAGACCTTGATGCGAGGCATGAAGGTTAGCAAGAACGCGTTGACGCATAGCCAAGGGAACAAGAATGCGTTGGCCTTTCATGACGATGCCCTGGTCCACTGACAGGTGTTCACGTCCATTCCAGAAGGGTTGTAGTGGAGCATCCAAATCACGCTGACGAGCGGGAAAACCAGGCAGAACGCACTGGACAAGAGACTGAAATACAGGATCAGCTGAGGCGGCTGCTTGAAGTTCAACAAACTTCAGGTTGGGGTGAGGACCATCATCACGGAGCATGCAGACGCAGATGCTGCGGCAATGAAGAGCAGGGGCTTCGCCGAATTCATCATTGGAAGACGGGATGCCGACGGGATTGCAAGACAGCGCATCAGCAAACGCGTGATCGGAGCATTTTCGCCAGGAAGCGTGCACTTGAAACGACTGCAGCTTCAGGCGAAAACGGAGAAGGCAAGGATTCTCGATCGGATCTAGAGAATACGCGTTGATAATCGGGATCAACGGACGGTGATCAGTGATCAGATCAAATAGGGTGCCGGATAAGTACAACTTGCACTTGTGCATGGCCCAATCGACGGCGAGCATCTCGACCTCAACAACAGCATAGCGAGATTCGGCATCAGAGAGGTAGCGGAAGCCACACTGGATAATTCGCCACTTATCGTCCTGCTTCTGCCACAGAACGAAGCCGAGACCACGTAGTGCAGAGGCATCAGTCTCCAGATGGAGGTCGTGTCCATGCTGGTAGAAGGCCAGGATAGGAGGAGACAGCAGAGTAGACTTGGTCTTCTCGAACGCAACAGTGTGGTTGGCATCCCAAACAAATTCACGGGTCGTCTTTAACAGACCACAAAGCGGAGTGGTGCAGGCGGCGAGGTGTGGTGAGAACTCGCTACACTTGTTCACCAGGCCAAGAAACGAACGCAAATCAGTGCGGTTTGCAGGAATGTCAAAATCGCGAATAGCCGCTGCCTTGTCATCGTCAACAACCCAGCCGTCTTGACTGACAATGTAGCCGCAGAAATGGATGTGACGTGACGCAAAGGTGAATTTGGACGGGCTCAGAGTAATGCCATGATGTCGAGCACACAGCAGGATGTCACGGGCATGGGTGACATGGGAGGCAAAGTCGTCATCATAGGCCAGGCAATCATCTACAACCTTGGCGAAATTCGGGATTGCATCGAACGCAGCATCAGTGCGGCAGTTGAAAACATCCCCGGCAGAAATCAGGCCTTGAGGGTTGCCTAGGAAACGATACCTGCCGTATGGGGTGATGAATGTGGTCATTGGATATGCCTGCTCACTCAGTGGGATTTGCCAGTATCCGTGCCTTGCGTCAAGCTTGGTGAGGAACTGTGCCGATCCAATACCAGAAACCACATTACGAGCGGTGCGAACAGGGTGGGCTGGTCTCGGGACTTGGTCATTCAGTCGTTTGAAATCGACGGGTAGGCGTTTCTCGGAGGTACCTTTCTTGTCAACGAGTACAATCGGGTGACACCATTCACTAGGCTCACTGACAGGTTCGATTATGCCATCGACAACCATTGTGTCCTGTTGTGACTTGACCTGGTCACGAAACGCGTGCGGAATCGGGCGTGCGGTATGGACACATGACGGCTTAGCATCTGGCTGTTGGATGTCCATCGGAGGACCTGCCATCGCCTTCAAGCCAGTGTCGGAAAACACGTCCGAGAACTCCTGCAGTAGCTCATCGCGAACACGAGCGATATCAGCAGAGCTAGGATTGACAACAGCCTTTGATACAGCACGGATCTTAGGTAGTGCGGCATCATTAGCAGCAGGGTACTGTGCAGGCCAATCTGACGGGAGGAGCTGGAGTGCACTCAAGGACGAACGTGATAGAAGAGCATCGTCCAGACCCTTGTACACGTGGATTACGGTGCTGTGTTGTACTTCGCCAACCTGAAGTAAAGCACGAATACTGCCGATGTTCTGCAACTGCTCCCCAGATGCCGCTAGGACGCACTCTGGGTTATGGTCGAGGTTCTCGGAGAACCCGCCAAGCAGTTCGAGATGATGCTTGCCACTGGCATCGACGTCACTGCCAGTATCAGGGACCCAGGGTAGCGTGACTGCCTCATCCTCAGTGGCTAAACGGGTGGACACACGCACAGTAGGCTGCGCAGCAAGACGGGTACGCTGCTACTTCAGTTGGCCCACATGCTTCACGTTCCGGTCCGATTGTGACGACGACCTACACCTAGCGAGAAAGTGACCAGTCTTGCCACAGCCATTACATTTCTTGCCCCTGGCAGGGCAACTATACTTTGTGTGCGGGCTCCGGCCGCAATTGGGGCACTTCTTGTGTGTGTCGCTTCCTGACGAGGGAGCGGATGCAGATGGCAATACAGGTGCAGACATCTTGCTGCCAGGCTGTCCCTGTCGGGATTGTTGCTTACTGCGTTGGTACGCGGACCGCCGCACAGCATTGAGCTGGCTGGTGGACGGGATACTGCTGCTCGTCGTGGTAGCCGCTTCCTCCGCCCGGCAAATTGTGACTGCTTCGTTCAGGGTCAAATCCTTGGCAGACAATACTTGTGCCGGGTAGCGTCGTCACTAACTCCAATGACAATCCTGTCATGCAGGGTGTCAGCACGCACACGTGTCAGGCTTGTGCGACAGGTACTACATGTGTGTGCTGAACATTGTGAGCACAAAACAACGTCCGGAAAATCACAGCTATAGTGCAATTCTTTCAATGAAGTGTAAAAAGAATCGAAAGACTCGCCTTTCGATTGACACCTATCGTAAAATGCGATACGATCCAGGAGTGGGTTGCGCTGCCGTCGCAAATATTCCTTGACTGCAGAAATCACATTGTCCGCATCGGGATTCGGTGGAGTCACGATAACACCCTCGCGGAGAAATCTGCGTAGCTCCTCATCTAGAGCTTGCCGCAGCGAGGACACTCTGGTCTCACGGCTCTGGGCTGGCAGGTGCTGGCCCTCATAATAGTCTCGCCACATTTCCTGCCATGCCGTGAAGTCGGCCGCTCCGCAGAGACAGGCTTTGGAGCTGGTGATGTGGTGCTGGGTTGCACGGGTTGTTGTGTTGGTTGTGTCAGTCGTTGTATAGTTTGTTGGAACAGGTCAGCCATTTTACGTTCCCTCTCCTCTGAGGACTTCATTTGTGCCGCCAACATCGCGGTCAGGGCAACAATGTCAGGAGCAGGGTCTGAGTCGGACATCGTGGTCGTAACCTACGCAAATGCTGGTATCACGAACAAACTACAAAAACATCGGCCAATGTGGCAACACAACGAGGTGCAAACACAAAGCACGAGAAACTAAACACACAGGTGAGTTCTACAAGGAACGAACAGTTCACTGCGCCATGATATGTCTACAGTTAGCAAGAAGACATTTATCATAAAACAAATCTGAAGAGAAGGAAAACACAACTGAAGAGGCAAAACACATAAAGCACGGAAGTATCTCCCAAGCCAAGCAAGCATGCCGTTATGGTGCGAGGTCATACAACTGTGGTACAAATGTAGTACTGGAGTACATGAACTACAGGTCAAATATGGCATGGGGGAATCCATATACATCAGGAACTATTTTTCAGTTTCAGGAAATGAAGAGTGAAGATTGCCAGGACGCCAGCTAATGAATGCAAATCAGAACCTTTCGAACATGTATGCCCCTAATAAATAAAAGAACATGCTGAACCAACGGATCTTAAGTAAGAAATAGGATATAATGCCTCGAAACTGCAAAATTAATATTGGCATGCACCATTCCATTCCCAACAGGATTGGGTTATTTGGATGATCTGAACTGGAGTACTCTCCGTATTCTTACCATAACCTGATGTTGTCAGAGCTGAAATATCCCCAGAAGGCATCACAACTTGATTCCCGTTGTCCTGCCAGGTAACATTAGCCTGGGGGTATGAATATGTCGAACATGGAATGATCAATGTGCCAGTCTCATTCACTGTAACATTTTGTCCAATAGTCGGTGTAGATATCATTGGTAACACTGAAATAACAAACGAACGGAAGCACAAAGAGAGGGGCCAAATCTTGTCACAGTATGAAGCGAAACTTGGCGAAGAAACTCTCCTCCAGGTGGACTCTACTTTTTGGTTATAAGATACCACTAACATTTTAGACTACTGCCGACATTAAGTGGTACTATACAAAGTTGGCTGCTCCAACATGGCTACTTGGAAGCTCTCCCCGGTCAATTCATATTACGTTCGGACAGTTAACATTCACAGGTTCATCTTGAGTAAGCAAAACAAAATTAAATCTTTTTTCGTATCACTGCATTTGTCTAAAAATCAATAGTTCTAAGTCGGAAATGAACGGGTTTTCCAGGCCTAACAACTGGATAATAATGAGCGACTGTTTACGATTGGCCTATATTTCAGCTCTCTGTGCAAATGTTGAGATCGTCAGGTTGTCTAAACACTTTCCACCTTTCACATCCGTCACAGCCACTGAGACTGTAAGCATATCAGGGCTGTAACTGTTGTCAGTGGTGCTGACCGATCTTGTCCCAGTCTTACTGACTGTTCTGTTTTTCATAAACGGCACCGTTCTTGATGGATGTAATGTTCCGGCAATTGGAAGTTTTCCATACAATTTTACAAAATTTATTGTATGAAAAGGAGTTGGACGCGATTTCAGCGATATTAAGAGAATCATGTGTCGCTCCCTACGTGGGAGTGCTTGCTTTTCCTGCCGACTTCAATACAATTTGACTCACTCTCATTTACACTGTCATCCAGAAGACACAAGAGGTCCATCGAACCTTCAACTCGGCAAACCTGCAAGAAAGCACCATTTTCTGTCCAATACACACTGTTTCGGAGAAATCACCTCTCATAAGTTGGGCATGAGTAAGCTAATGAATTTAGTGCTAGGAGAGCACTGCATTATGTACCAGGTACGAATGCTAACTTACTGTGACATTCCATTTCCAACGCGACAATACCTATGCAACTCCAGGAAGATGAGCGAGTCACTTTTGCTCATAGAGGCGCAAGGTTACAAGTAGGGAGCAAATTCCTCAACCAATTATAGCCTGAAGATTATGCTAAGAGTCGATGTATAAGAGTTTTTTTATTCTTCTTACTTATTTCGTTTTCTCCAGCCGCCTGAGGATTCACACAGATACGATAGTTGAGAATTATTGGAAAATGTTGAAATAATCGATGGATAATGTTAGTTTGTAATGGTAGTTAAAAGTATGTGCCGTCCAAAACGTTTTAAAGCGCTCACCGTTCACGTGCACAATGAACGTGGTAGAACCTGATCCACCAGCGTTTGAGGCTGTGGCAGTGTACGTTCCTGCATCTCTTCTGTTAAGTGCAGTGATGGAAACACCTGCGCGACCAGGCGCGAAAATGTACTTAGTCGTTGAATAGGACGGGAGAGCACCAGTGGGTCCAACCCACAGTATCTGATAGATGAAGAATAAATAAAAAAAGGTAGGTGTTGAAGTCAAACAGGGATGTTGAGCCAATAGTAATATATAAATAGAAAGGATCTATAAGCAAGGAGTTATGACCAACAATCCACCATGGTCCCGGGATAATATACATTGTACAGTCAGGTCGAGCGACAACAAGGTACACAATTGACACATTCCAAGACCTGACACCGGGCTCCAACACATCTGCGAAGCGCAAACTAACAACCTTCCAACTGCATGTAGGTCTTTGCTCTACCCTGATGGGGGGGGGGGGGGAAAGCCCGAAAATGTGAGGACTATTTACAATGCAGTAATCAGTAAAAAGTCAGTGTTTGATAGGCATATGCGGATAATGTCGGCAGAAAAATTGGCAGAATTCGGTACTTTTTCTGGTAAGTTTAATGCATGTTTGGTATGTGGATAAAGAAATGGAGTTGAATTCGAGGAATTGTCCGCCGTTAGGTTTGTATGGTTCTGCCAATTTTACTGATTTTCGAGCAGAATCTGCCACCTTTTCCAGCATTATCCGCCAATGCCTAGTGTTTGAATGCAGTGGCCCAGATGTTCCATAAATCCTATTGTGATGTGTTGCTTTCCTTGATACGTTTTGATTGATTTTTGTTTGTGTTTATTTTACTTCACAGTGAAGTTCACACGGGAACTAGGCCCCATAACATCAAGGCGAATATGAAAGGAAAAAGCAAAGAAGGAAAGGGAATATATGGCAAGCAGGCAGGACAAATTACAAAGCAAAGTAGCCCAGGTTTCAGAAGTGCTCAGGTACTGACAAAACCCTTCACATATGCGCGTGTTTTGAAAGTACTTCCAACACATTCACATCAGTTGGACCACGAGGAGGGAAAAACGTACTCTATCAATGTCACGCGATGCTAGAACTGTCTTCGGGGTGAAAATATTTTGGGCTCCTTCTTGGCTTGGTCAGGTGCAATTCTGGGCCCAAGCTCGGATATTTCGAGCATTGCTCATTAGAAGCAAGGCCTTAAGTTCAAGCTGTGGTGGGGTAGAATCTTTTTCGCCTTCTTATTGTTTGCAGCGATTAGAAAAATGTTGACAATCGAACAACATGCAGATAGTAGAACTTACGTGGCTGATTTGAGGGTATACGTATAACCAATACAACGACAGTGGCACGGTTTCGTTTTCCAGTCTTGTCAAGTTCGATTGCGTACTGATCAATTTGGGCTTCACTGTAAATGGAAAATATAAATAAAAGATCAAGAAATACAACATTTGTCAACTTCCTGTTACTGCCGACATTCTTAGTTGCGGTATGACTTAGCTTGTCCACACTTACGCTGCGCTCGCAATCCCCTCTTCGGTCCTACCTAACAGTGACCCTTACCAGTTTAAAGGCTGCTGGTCTTCCCCTGGACGATTAGTAGAGCTAGGTGTCAGGTCGTTAAATGTCTCAGTACCTGATCAGATTTTGTCATCTCAATTTCTGACGGCATACTTTTCTTGATACAGTCGTGGAAAGTTGGTTCATAACTCGTTTCCATATTATCCCTTCCATTTGACATGTTTTATTGGCTTTGTTGAGTCACAGAAGGAGTCACCATCCCAGACACAAAGGAACAACTTGGGGACAGGTACTAGTAGTGGGAAGACATTTATCATAGACGGAGAGACGGAGAAAAAGAGGAACTAAACAACTACATTGTGAAAGAGAGAGAGAGATTCGAAGAGAGTTGACGCAATATATAGGGCCTGGGTAGCTATGGCAAACATGGGTGCGCAAGTAGCTACCCCGGCCAACGGAACGAAAGGTGAGAATGACGTAGGTGAGAAGGACGTAGCATGGGCGGAGGTACCTAACAGCTTCGTATACGACAGGGAGCGAAACAGCTGTCTTGAGGCGTGGAACAATATTATCTCTCAACGGAAGTGTCTTTGCTGGTGTCTGTATGGTTCGGCTCGTGAGCGCGTGGTTGTGATGAGTTTGGAATGCAATAAATTCGAAATATGGCCGAAAGCTCTGTCGCAATATTTAGTGTTGTATACGATCTAAGTTAAGATAAAATAAATTTACTTGTACCCCTCTATCCAGGATTCATAGGGCGGTAAAAACAGATCTGCCCTCACACGCTCTCTAAGTTTCAAAGCTAATCTGACACGGAGCTCTCCTTCTCAACACCACCACCTGTAGCTCGCGGATGGCGCCTAGTCGATGCATGGTCAGTGGTATCGGACACAGGAGGCTGTGGTACATTAGGTAGAGCATGGCAGAAAGCAGATGACACAGCAACGACAGTTTAAGTCTTCAACTTCATTCCCCCTCTATGCTCCTGTAACTAAGACCACTTTCCCAAGCTGCCCTAAGCCACATCCGCAGAACCTGATGACCGGATACCCCTGAAGCTATTGTTCGCTATGCTGAGCTTAGACTATGACTTTGTGAGGGCTCACTAGTATGAAGCCTCCTCTAATCGGTCCAGAAGGCCTACATTTCACTTGAATCTAATTCTGTTGGTCGCTGAAGACATTTGAAAAGTGTACAGAATGGATGATAATTTCATCAGACAATATTTCCGAAACACAACGATGAGGCTAATCCGCGCTTAGCTGTATTCCTCTTTTATGGGGAGCCAAAGTACAACTATTGCACAGGCTATTATTATTTTCATTGCATGTACGCGTTGGAGTCAACCATGCAAGCATGATTCACAACTTCGCTTATGCTGAACATGATAAACAGGACTATGACAGGGAAAAATTGAGCTAGAGCGATGATATATGATAATATCATTTTACAATGTAGCTCATGTGTACTGAAGATATGTCACTTATTATGTCATTAATTTTATGAATATTGCAGGCTGCGTGATAATGATCGTGCTATTTTCTGAGTTTGCATAGGCTAGGAGGAAGTAATTCAGTGTGAGACTAGGGATTGAGACAATCTCTCCGAATTCGCTCAAAAGTTGAAGAAAAGTTCCCTTTGGGGTGTGGATTCACTCCGCAATACACTTGAGCAAGATTCTGAAGGAAACCTTGACACTGGTATACCCCTCAAGATGGCCGAAACTTCACATGATTTAGGGGTCTATAAGCGAGTCACGCCACAAGGTGTACGGATAAGCTACGAACAAAACTCCATCACGCCAGCATTGCTTCACATGATATTTATTGCGGGGCAATACCGCTTCGCCACGTCAGCATCCCAAAACACGATCACTTGTCACTCCAACCCACAAGCTTCTCCTTGCGCCACCAACAGTTTTTGGTTCAACCGTTCACACAATAATAACTGAAGTCCTGAGCGTAGTTTTTGAATTTTATAGCAAGAGGCACCAACGGAGGTTCCCGACCTTTCTACCCAGGTTCCTTCGCAAGAGTAACGAGACACACAAGTTCCCCAATTGGCAATTCCCATGCATTGTCCTCAAGCGAAATTTTACAACTCCTTCTAATCCATTCACTTTCATGAACCTCCTTGTCTCGATGACAATTCCAGGAAAGCGTTCATCGACCTTACTACTTGTTGGGTGTATAGAATGAGTGCGCATTTGATCATGTGTATGATATTTTTCAGGTGATAATATTATTTTCTAGGATTCTCCAGAGGCACATGGATGCCTATCAAAGGGAGTCTCCTGGGGAAAGGAAGTGAAGGTGGCTGTCGTGAGAGTGGGAAGAAGGGACATGACAAGGTTTTTGCTATAATAATTTTTATTCTGGTAACACTTTTGCCAAAGCATCCATACCCTCGGTCATTCTATACTCGATACTTGACTGAGATGACTTACCATATACAACAACGGTGATGTTAACGGATCGTTGAATAGTCATCGTCTTAGTTTGAATTGATGCGTAACAGGTGTAGACACCCCTCAAATTACGTTGGACGTTTGGGATGGTCAGCACAGTTTTAGTGGTACTCAGCAGGGTGGTATTGTCTGAAGAAGAACATTAGGTATGACACGAGGAAAGCAATCAGTAAGGGGAACAATATTCTGTATTAAAGGCTTACAAACCCGCTGTATCTTCATTAAAAAAAGCATTTGGGCATCTCATGACAGCATGCCATAACAAATAGGGCTAATCGCATCTACACTAATGGGTCATATCTTCTATGCTGCCGTCAGAACATCTAAACTCTTTCTGTTATTCAGCTTACGGTGATGATGTATGTTGTCCAGACAGTTCGCTAATGGTGCTAAAGTATTCTGATACTGCTAGATCTTACCAAGCGTGTTGGCACTACCGATGATATGAATATTGACGAGTGAGGAGGTCAGCGATAAACTCTAGTGAAACATTAAAGTGATATTGTAAAGATACTTACCAAAGCTGGTTGTGGTATTCACAGTGTTGACACCGTCGCTTCCGATGTTTGCCGAACTAGTTTCGTGACGCCAAAAGCCAGAGGCTGGCGGAAATGACGAAGATAGGCATGCTACGATCAGTGGATAGGTTTCATTCACAGCCAAGAGCTGGAAAGGTTGAGGTGCGGAAAAAACTGGTACGACTGCAGAAAAAATAGCAGAAAGTTTTCATAGCAAAACAGGTGTTTCACCTCTTTGGTGCCCCTGATTTTTGTAAGTCATCCTTCTACGGCCCTGTTGGCAAAACAGCTGATCCATTCTCGCTCTAATCCCATGGTTTCACCAGGTGACATCTCGCGATCCCATATTTTATCAGCCTCTCGTTTTATTTTCTCCACTTTTCTTTGGAGGTTATCGAAATAATCGAATCATTGTATAGGTTTCCACTGCCCAGTTGACATTAATTTTATGAAAATTGAAATCAAATGCAAAAAATAGGTCGTATAATTATGTGTGCTGTGAAGACAATAATTTCATTACGGCTCTCAGTAATTTCAGCTGTGCTGTTATTTTAACACACACACCCACGCACACATACAAACATGGGTGCGCGTGTGCGTGCGTGTACTTGTATTTGTATACATGCGTGTTACACTGACAACACCGTTAAGAATGAGAGCAATAAAAAGAGTTCGCATTCCAATTACCATAAACATCTACCGAGAATGTAACAGAGCCGGTTCCTGCTGTATTCAGTGCTCTGGTGGTGTAATTTCCTGCATCCTTTAACGTCACGTTATTGATCGTCAAATTTTGGCGATTGACAGAGAACAGGTACTTGCTGGTCGAAGATAATGGCAGCTGTCCCATCGGTCCAACCCATGTGATCTGCAGAAAACAACGCGTGGACAGGGTACGTGCACAGGGAAGATCATAACCCTCATTATCGATTTTGAAAAGTACAGTAGTGAGGAGAAGAACACGCCCTGCCACTCGCAACTCAAGTGGCGTGAGGGTTTGAAAGTATTGTAGGTCAAACATTGGAGATCCGCACAACAACTGATAGCCCCTTCAGCATTCCAGGTCGATGCACTAGAGGAACTCATGGAAAAGGTTTTGGTTGCGACATTCAAGATTTTTAGACTCGCGGCACCAAAGGTATTCTAGGTGTGATCGTGGGGAGGTGTATCATTGGCCTAAGCAAAACTACAACACCTAGACATTAGCCCCCCCCCCCAAATGGGTCGGCCGAAAAATTCGCCGAAAACGAGACATATCGAGCTTTTCGCCGGTTTTTAGGGTTCCTTTGAGAATCGCCGAAACTCTACGAAGTATTGTTGCAATGTGCGTTTAGGAACAAATTGATGTTGCTGCAAGCATGACCGCTCCAGCTCATTAATACAGTACTTGTAGTACTAGTGCGTTGAGGTCGTGTGACTCTTTGTCTTTGTCCTCCTCTCAAACAATCTGTTCGTTACAACGAACTTTCCGTTTTCTTTTCTTTCTTTTCCTACCTCTACTTGTTCACAGTATCCTTCGTAATGTTATTCACAGTGGATGTAATGTTATTAGGCATTATGCCTGTTTTGATTTCCACTGAAAATAAAGTACCCAACAAAAGCAAACGTTAGCCATTAGGAAGCTCGTTACTAGTGAAATCCCCAAATTAGCCGGCGAAAATTCGCCGAAAACGAGATCCAACAAAATAAATCGTTGAGATTTTCACCGGTTTTGAAGGCTTTTTTTGAGAATTGCCGAAAATGTACCAAATCGTCCACTCTATCACCAATTTTTGAAGCCAATATGCCAACAATTCTTTCAGGCGATTTTCTAAATAATTTTCCAATTTTGCAGCCGAATTTTGAACACTCAGCTGATTTTGTAGCCGAATCTGATGTATTTTTGAGTCAAGCGAAAGGTTGAATAGGCAAAACACTTTGGGGAAAGCCTACTAGACATCCCCTGTGAGGAAGCCTGCACGCTGGACATTAATTCCAACCTATCAGTACTATCCTTTTTTTCCTTTTGTCAGTGCTCCTAAATAAATTGATATCATAGGATCTCTAGGGCATCTCCGCATGAAGGCCTTCCACGAAAGGTTTATAACACAATTCTTGACATTGTGCACTGTTTCTCGCTTGTGTCTATCTAAAGCTCAGTGCTATTACTTACATCGCCTGGTGTGATAGTTGGAATCGCAGGTGACTGAAAGGAGAAGGCTAATTTTGCTGCACTCCCCTCCTCCAGCTGGAACTCAGTTTCGTTAGAAATCAACGTTGGTTTTACTGAAGAGGACAAAGACAGATATTGCTAGATGTTAGGCCTATTTCGTATAAGGTCCCATGTCCAGCAACTGAGTATTGTGTTATATTTTCCAAAACAATGCTTAATTCACAGTTTTTGTGCTCAACTTGCAAGACACAATCTCGCCGTAAACATCCAGAATTTTCAGATGATGAAAAAGAGTGAAAGTAGAACCTGAAAAAGGCAGACAGTCAGCCTAGCTGTACAAGGGCCGGTCAAAAATGCTGCCAACTGAAATCCGACTCCTGAGCGATGCGTTCACATTCTAGTGGTATTTCGTGGCTTTACTATCCCACGTTGGGTCTTTGCGATGTGAGCGCACCGCTCAGTGGTCGGATTTCAGTTGCCACCACTGCACAATGGTAAAACAACCTGTTAGCGCTTGCACCCGAATGCATCAGAGCAGTGTATAGGAAATGGGAGAGCCAAGTGACTACATGCAATGGAAAGTCACAGAGCAAAGCTGCATGCATACCCACGTATTCTCACAACACCGCACAAGGATAATTGGGGTACACCAGTGTGCTGATTTCGATCAACTGGTGAAGCGATTGGCGTTGCAAACAGCCAAAGTGATCGCTCACGACTGAGCTGCAGCAGTACCCGCGACCGGGTGCAAAGTTCCCTGATCGACGTTGCAAACAGCCAACCAGGGTGAAGCAGTTGGCGTTGCAAACGGCCAAAGCAGTCGCTCATGCTTGAGCGGCAATAGTACCCGCGACCGGGTGCAATGACTACTGATTGGCGTCGCAAACAGCCGACCAATAGTATGCAATTTTAAGCAGAGATAGTAGCAGCAAAGCAACCAGTTGAAGGAAGCTGTTCCAACCTATATAATGTGGGAATGGGAGGGTGGGTGGCAAACAAATTCCGGTTGCTGCTCAGTGACACTGCAAAGGAAAGCGCAAGCCAAAGTCAGCGCAGCAAGAGCTACCCAAGGCGATTTGGGCGCGCATGCGCAGCAGTTGAGTGCACGTGTAAAGCCAGCTTGATCGCAGCTAGCATGAGATAGAGAGCAGCGCATCGGTCTTATCGCTAACTAGGGTTAGCCCAAAAGCTAACCCAACATTTAGCGCTTGCACCCGAATGCATCAGAGCAGTGTATAGGAAATGGGAGAGCCAAGTGACTACATGCAATGGAAAGTCACAGAGCAAAGCTGCATGCATACCCACGTATTCTCACAACACCGCACAAGGATGATTGGGGTACACCAGTGTGCTGGTTTCGATCAACTGGTGAAGTGATTGGCGTTGCAAACAGCCAAAGTGATCGCTCACGACTGAGCTGCAGCAGTACCCGCGACCGGGTGCAAAGTTCCCTGATCGACGTTGCAAACAGCCAACCAGGGTGAAGCAGTTGGCGTTGCAAACGGCCAAAGCAATTGCTCATGCTTGAGCGGCAATAGTACCCGCGACCGGGTGCAATGACTACTGATTGGCGTCGCAAACAGCCGACCAATAGTATGCAATTTTAAGCAGAGATACATGTAGTAGCAGCAAAGCAACCAGTTGAAGGAAGCTGTTCCCAGAAAACCAGCACACGGCACCCCAGCAAGCGTTCACCACCAATGCACGAGAGCTAAGAACAAGTGATTAAGGCACGAGATGGATAAAGGTAGGCATGCAGGTGGATGAAATCCAACGCAGGTTCTCAATACGGCAATTTAGCAATGACAATCGGTACCTGTATGTCAAGGCTATATTACATCGACTGGAATGGCAGCACTGCTCGGTCTGGTTGTGCTTGAGCAGCTGGGGCGAGACGTCGGAATTCCTCCATGCGGAAACGAGACAGCGAATCGGCAATGCAGTTAGACTGGCCATCAATGTGAGCAGCAGTGACGGTGAAATTGAAGCGGGCGCACACAAAGAACAGCTCCCTGATCAGGGTCATCACTGGAGGTGACTTGGATGTGCCGGAGCGGATGCAATCTACCACAGCCTTGTTGTCGCAGTGCATTGTGATACGAAGCTGGCGCCATTCCTTGGCCCACGTGCAGCACGCTGTGACCAACGCGTAGAGCTCCTTCCACTCAATGCTGTGAGTGAGTTGCTCAGGTGACCAGGTCCCTTGAAGCCAGCGGCCGCTGTTGAATGCGCCCCAGCCCAGGGTGCCACTGGCATCAGTGAACAGCTCCAAGTCTGGAAATGGTGTCCAATCTGGGAACAGGAAGAATGATTTTCCGTTCCAT